GTGGGAAAAGGAAAAACAGGCTCTTCTCACATACTCCACTGAAAAGTCAATGATTTTCTGTTAATATGGATAAGCAGACATTCCAAACCATCACTATGGTCTTTTGTTGTTGTTGCTTTAACTTGAGAGAGAGGGGAAAAAGGAAGAGGGGGAAAACTGATTTGCTGTTCCACTAATTTTTGCATTTATTGTTCTTGTGTGTATGTGCCCTGACCAAGGATTAAGCACACAACTGTAGTATATCGGGAAGATGCTCTAACCAACTGAACTACCCAGCCTGGGCACTTATAATCTTTTTTATCACCAGCATCTACCAGGTGAACCTGACCAAAGCCAGGTTCATTTGTTTAAGCTTGGTAGCCTACAATTAAAATTGGTTACAGTCTTGACAACCAAGATAGAATTGTTTCTTTAAAAGGAGGAGGTAAGATAAACAATGTGCAGTAGCAGGTTTGGCTCAGTGGATACAGTGCCAGCCTAGGGACTGAAGGGTCCCAGGTTCAATTCTGGTCAAGGGCACATGCCCGGGTTGTGGGCTCGATCCCCAGTGGGCAGCCCATCAATGATTCTCTCCCATCATTGATGTTTCCATCTCTCCCTCTTTCTCTCCCTTCCTCTCTGAAATCAATAAGAATGTATTTTTTTTTTAAGATAAATTTAATGCAATGTAAAAAAGCCCTTAAAACTAGATGATTCACAGGTGACTTGGGCTCCAACGGTTTTACCTTAATGCTGCAATAACATAAACTTTCCTTTTCCAGAGACTCTGGGCATAATTTTCTTTGAGATCTCAGTACAAAGTTTTTGCTTTCCTAAGAAAGGCCATTGTGGGTACGTGAATATTTAATTGACTCAATAAAAGGGCATACTTGTTCCCGTCTTGAAATCTCAGCTAACTAGCCAGTTATATGCTAAATAGAATTTAACAAAGACTTGAGAGTTTTTAAAAATGTAATGCGTGGGCACCGCTGGTGTGACTCAGTGGATGGAGCATTTTCCCATGCACCACGAGATCTCTGGTTCAATCGCTGGCCAGGGCACATGCCCAGGAGAGCTCATGCAAGAGGCAGCCAATCAATCAATTGATGTGCTGTCTCTCTCATCGATGTTTCAATCTCTCTCTCCCTTTTCCTTTCCCTCTAAAAAGCAATAAAAGCATATTTTTTAAAATGTAATGTTTTGTGCAGATTGGTCTTTGACAATTACATAAAATAGAACCTGGTATCTAATTCGTCCAATTGATTTGGAGCAGCCTATTTTCCTCCTGGAGAAGCAAAGGCATGGGTTACCACGCTATAGAAATAAGTTTTGTGCAAGAACACTCATTCCCCGTGGCTGTCCAAGTCTCCTCCGTAGAAAGAGGATGCCATCTAGCACAGATGATGGGGAGCTGCAGCCAGGCCCGAAGAGCAAAATAAACGCCAGGCTCCTCCTCCTGTGGTCTCCAAATGAGCCCGGAGTGCATTTTCAATGCAGTCCCCACAGGCTACCAAGGCGATTCTGCTTGTGAAGTGGTTGTTGGGCAAAACATGACCTGAACAGCACAACCTCTCACCCCACCTCTACTCAGCCTCTCGGCCTCTGGCCCCCTGCATCCATCCGACTTGGGAGAGCACCACCTAGAGCAAGCTTTGACCTTGCCTTTCTTCCATCCCAGCCTTCCTCCTCCACCCCACCTCCACCTCCGGTGTTTCCCAGGAAGAGAGGCATCCCCAGCCATCAGCCTTCCCTTCCCGAAGGGAGACATCCCTTCCAAGTATTTTGCAGCCCAATTTAACCCCTCTTTATCCCCAACGTCTCTATCCCAGGGTAGGAATTTGACTTGATTTCGAATCACTAAAAGCCTCTCTCGAGGTGTTTTCCTAAGATCAAAGAGCTTTCTTCCCCTTCAGATGAATTTTCCCTCCACCCTTAGCACAACAATAATAACAACACTGCTGGCCTAAACAGTTCCTGACTCCTTCTCCTCACCGACACTTCAGAAATATCAGTGCCAGGTCACAAAGCATGTACCATACACACCAAACCTTACCGTCTGCAACGCATCTGTATGGGCTCCGTCTCCCTGCCCTGCCAGGGCTCCCTCAGTGAGGGGCCTCAGGTCATGTGCCAGGAGAAGTTGCTTTTCACATCCCCGTGCTTTTTGCCTTCTGCCCTGGAAAGAGGAAGGACTCAGCAAAACCCAGAGTGAAGTTTGCCATCTCTAATTGTAGCCCCAGCTCCCAGAACGTTAGCGTGTGGTCGCAGGGAGGTATTTTCCTAATCATCATAAAAAGCAGCGATGGCTTTTCATCTGTCTTTCCCTCCACGAGGCCCAGAAATCCTCCTCCTCCTGAACTCAAAAGGAGAATTTCAGTGACTCTACTCTTTTGGCAATGAGGACAAGGTCCGTTTGTCTTTCTCCTCTAGGGAAACCATTTGTGTCCTTGCTGTGACAGCTAGAGAAAGCTGAATAGGAAGATGGTGTTTTTTTTTTTTCCCAGAATAAGTGTGGAAAGAACATTTGGCTACCATGTCAGCACTGTTTACTCACTCACTCGGCAAACTATTTCTGAGCAGTCCATATGAGCTAGGCCCCAGCCTAGCCACCGGGGACACAGAGATGAGTAAGACACGAGTTCTACCCTCAAGAAGTTTACAGTATGGTTAAGACCCAGACACAACAAAATAAAATTCCCATATGATATGACAAGAGCGATGAGGATGGGAAAGACATGTGTCTGATGCCTTCTAGGCACCTTACCTGCATGGACAGAGGAGGGTAGAACAGAACTGATATTGGTGACAAAATACCAGTCATAGTTACCCTTCTTGGAATGCACAAATGGAGGGCTCTGCCTGTCCATCCCGAAGCTTTGGCTGTAGCCCAGGGTGAGCTGAAGGCTACTCATCTTGCAATCCTGAACAGGTCCTTGGAAGACTCCTGTATGAAATTCCTTCTGCGCCTCTTGGCCTGAGGTGCTAGGGTATGTCACTCCCCTCAGGGCAAAGGAGATCAACCTTTCGACAGAGATCAGCGACCAGGAAACCAGCATGTCCACTGGACAGTCCCTCTAATGTCCCGGAGCCAACGAATCCTGTGTGCCTGGACGAAAGCTCTTTAGCCACAGGCAACGGTCTCAGCATCCTGTTTGGAAAAGAAGCAACAAGCAATGAGACTTCCTCTCGAACAGCCTAGGGACCTGGGAATTGGGCTGCTGTGTTGGGCCCCTGGTTGGTGAGAGAGAAACAGGAATGCTGTGTTGAGCGTGCCTAACATGCCCATGTGAAGACTGACTGTGGGATGATTGCGATTTATGGAGATAAAAATTACAAAATGGGCCTGGTGCGCTCAGTGGTTAGAGCATTGGCCTGCCCACCAGTATTCAGGGTTCAATTTGATTCCCAGTCAAGGGAACATACCTGGGTTGTAAATTCAATCTCCACTCTAGGTCGGGGCATGTGCGGGAAACAACCATTCAATCTCTCTCTCTCTCTCTCTCTCTCTCTCTCTCTCTCTCTCTCTCTCTCTCTAAATCTTTCACTGCAAATGATTTCAGGTAGATGCCATGATTATTCCCATTTTACTGTCTGATGTGGAAACTGAGGAATGGAAAAGTTAAGCAACTGGTCTAGGAATGATGCTCAAGTCACCTGCAAAACTGGAAATGACAGACCAGGAATGTAACCCCAGGTCCGGGTGGCTCCAGAGCTCTGCCATTAACCATTAAAGCAGTGTTTTCTCAGCCCAGGGTCACTTTGTCCCCCAAGGGACATTTGGCAATGTCTGGAGGCATTTCTGCTTGTCACATCCAAGTAGGAAGACAGGAGCAGACAGAACCTAAGCAAAACACACACACACACACACACACACACACACACACACACACGAGAGACTAGAGGGGCAACACCAGGCGAGTCCCCAAGATGACGACCCTCAATTGCAGAGGCAGAACCGGAAGTAATATGCAGGTGATATGCAGACTCAACAAACTACATCGGTAATGCACTGACTGGTGTTTGGAAAATGCCCATGTAGTGCCTTCAGCTTGTCTCCTTTACCGTAAGGTCCCTGTGAGGTTTCTATCTGTTTAATGAGCTTGCTCTGGAGTACCATGCTTATCACTGAGGACTTAAGACTTCCTAATCGACAGGAACCAAAATTTAAACTTGTCCCAATTCTCCCAATTTTGGGAAGAGAGACCAAAATGGAGGCCCACACACCAACCCCAAAAGTTTTCAGGACCCGAAAACCTTGACGTGTATCTTACCCTCTTAGTTTATTAACAGACTATAACTGCACTGAAATTAATTCCACGTGCAGAAGCCAAAACAGGAAACAGATCTTTTTGAAGAACAGGTGTAAACAGTAACAACAACAAGTCAGCAGCTACTGTAAAAATAAGTATCTAGCTCCCCACCTGAATTAGTCCTTTTTAGGTTGGGGCGACCATCAGAGACAAAGTATCGCTTTTCCAAGTATTCAGCCTCAGAAAAGCCCTAACAGGAATTTACCCCCATCCATAGGGGCTGCGGACCCCCCTGCCCCCCCCCCCCAGGGACCTTTAGACGCGGAGCATCTAAAAAGGAGGCGAGCCGGGACCGGTTTGGCTCAGTGGATAAAGCGTAGGCTTGGGGACTGAAGGGCCCTGGGTTCGATTCCGGTCAAGGGCATGTGCCTGGGGGGTGTGCAAGAGGCAGCTGATCGATGACTCTCTCCCATCGATGTTTCTGACTCTCTATCCCTCTCCCTTCCTCTCTGTGAAAAATCAATAAAAGATGTTTAAAAATATAAATAAATAAATAAATAAATAAATAAATAAATAAATAAATAAATAAATAAATAAATAAATAAATAAATAAATAAAAAGGGAGGCGAGGCTGTGGCTCCGCGCGGCCCGCCTCAGCTCCAGCTCAGGCCCCGCCCCCGAGCACGTGGGCCCGCCCCTTCCGGCCGCGGCCCCGCAGGCCCCGCCCCCCCTGCAGCCGGGCGCTGCCCGCCGCTCCCGCGTGCGCTGAAGATGGCGGTCGCAGCGGGAAGGTTGCTCCGGGCCGCGGTGAGTGCCTGCCAGCTGGGAGCAAGTGCGGAGACGCCGTGGAGGCTCCGGGAACGTGCTTCCCGGACAAAACCCCGCTCCCTCGCGGCCTGGGGGCGGGGGTTCCGCTCTTGGAGGGTGACCGCGGGTAACGGGCCCAGAGGCCTCCGCTAGGCGAGGCTCCCTGCGCCTGCGCAGAACCTCCGCTCCCCCCCCATTGCTCCCCTCTCCTGTTGGTCCCCTCCCCTAATTCCTCCTGGCTCGGAGTCGCCGCCCGTCCCCTGCCCCGAGCACAGGGTCCTGGGCCTGGAGGCGGTGACCTGCCCCGGGTCCCGGTCCTGCAATAGACGCTATGACCTTGGAAAGGGACCTCGCCTTCCCGAATCTCAGTGCACTTTTCTTACCTTAAGATGGAAAGGATGGTGCCTACCTCGGGGAATGGCAGGGAGCATCCGCCAACTGCTGGATGGAAGCCCAAGTGCTAAAGCGACCCAGGTGCTGACATGCAGAAGGCACGTCTCTCCCGCTCCCCGGGTCTGCCCCTTTCGCCTTTGTCCTGGCCAGAAAGGCTAGAACCTTCTTGCTACCCACCTTCCCCTTACTCATGGCGGGTTCCCTGCAGTGTCTTCTCTTTGAGTCACGCCGGACAGTTAGACTGAGCAGTTTTCCCTTGAGCCCCATCCAAATTCTCCTGCAGGCTGAACTTTGCTCCACTTGTTTGCTTGTCCGTGGGGCGCTGGAAAGGCCTTGTCTTTTCTAAGGAAAGCCTTGACACGGGAGATAGTCGCAGCGTATTATTCAGGCAAAGCGGTTTAAATGCACGGGGCCTTGCCAAGGCCCCTTGTTGTTGTTTTAAAATATTTTTTAAATGATTTCAGAGAGGAAGGGAGAGGGGAGAGAGATAGAAACACCAGTGATGAGAGAGAATCGAGGATCGGCTGCCTCCCCCTGCAGGCCTCCAACCAGGGATGAGCTCACAACCCAGGCATGTGCCCTTGACCGGAATTGAACCCAAGACCCTTGAGTCTGCAGGCCGACACTCTATCCACTGAGCCAAATCTGCCAAGGCTCCTCCTGGTTTTTGAAGCCCATGTGTTGCTTTTAAGAGCATGGAGTCTTTATGGACTTAGAATTCCCTTTCCCTTGCAGTCCTTTTTAACAATGTATATATTTAAATACAAAGTATGTGTTTAAGAAGTACAGCATGATGATTTGATATACATATACTCAAGTGATTGCTGCAGTCAAAGTAACATCTCTCTTCCCAGTTACCTTTGTGTGTGTGAGAGAGATGGGTGCTCCCTGGGCATATTCCCAGGGTTCAGTGCTGTATTCAGTATGATCATGCTGTACAATAGCTCCCCAGACTTCAACCTGCAACTTTGTATCCTTGGGCCAACATCCCTGGCAGTCTTGAAGGAGAAGGAAACGGAAGAAATGTTAAGAACATGGAGATGCAATCCATGCAGTTAGAGTTTTGGGTTTGGTATTTGGTTCCTGGAAACAAGGACAGCTGAGGCTTACGGGCTTCCCGAAGGGCCGGCCTTGAGCCACCGTTCTGGGACCGCTTCCTATGACGTGTTTCTCTCTCCAGGTTGCCCGACACGTGAGTGCCATTCCTTGGGGCATCTCTGCCTCTGCAACCCTCAGGCCTGCTGCTTCTCGAAGAACATGCCTGCCAAATGTATTGTGGCCTGCTTCCAGTCAAGCAACATCCGCCTTCAGCACCAGTAAGTGTTACTGCCTTGTTTTGACTCAGGTAATGGGAACATGAGTCCTCATCTCGGCAGGGGCTCTGAACCCAGCTCTATGTTAGACTCACCTGGGGAGCTTTTATTTATTTTTTAAGTACATTTTCATTGATTTCATAGAGGGAGAGAGAAATGGAAACATCAACGAAGAGAGAGAATCACCGATCGGCTGCCTCCTGCACCCCCCCCCCCAACTGGGGACCGAGCCCGCAACCCCCGCACATTCCCTTGATTGGAATCGAACCTGGGACCCTTCAGTCCACAGGCTGACACTCTATCCACTAAACCAAACCGGCCAAGGCTCACCTGGGGAGCTTTTAAAAACGTATCTTGCCCTAGTCCCACCCCAGTTAAGTTCATCTCTGGAGTGAGATCAGAGCATCAGTATATTTTTTTAAAAATCTCACCAGGTGATTCCAACATGCAGCCAGAGTTGAAAATCACAGGAAAACTGCCCTTGCATCTCACTTCCTTGCTGTTTAGCAGAGGTTTTAGGCCTGTGTTGGGAACAGGGTGGGGAGAGATGACTCAAAGGCCCTCTGTGGCATGAAGGGGTGTCAGGTAAGTGGGGTTGGCAGACAGCATGTTGGGAATTAGGCTTCTGGACTCAAACCTGTGTGCTGGCCACAGTGTGTCGCGTTAGACCACGGCCCCCTCCGTGATCTGAGGGAAGCATATCTATCTGAGATTTACACTCCATTTTCTAGACTGGGCTTTGCCGAGATCAGCCTCAGATAACGAATGGTTTTTGAAAACGGGTCCTTTAAATTTCTCTCTCCTTTTATGACGCTTATAATGGTTTGGGGGATATACTTCAGCAAAGCTTTTGTGAACGGATGAAATGTTCTAAAAGGTTTTACAATGTTATCCCCTTGGAGCATTCACGGTTTCTGAGTGGTGATTCGATGCCTGGTTACCGGTCCCAGCCCACTCCCTGCAGCTCCTATTGTTTCTGAGGCCCGGGCGTTGGCACGGACCGCTTTTGTCCCTCGCCTCCCAGATACAAGCATGTCCTCTCCAGCGCTGCCACATCTCTGGATTTCTTTCCTTTTTCCCTGGTCTCTGCCACACCCTTCCCCCTGCATACTTCTCCCTCCGATAACTGCAATCTCCTAACATCAGCCTCCCCTACCAGAGCCTTCTTCCTAAGAACAGCCAGCCAGCCCCTCTTCCAGCCCCAGCGCCTCTTTTATCTCTTCTTCCAAGAACAGACTCCTGGGCCTGATACTTGCGGGCCCTCACAGCACGGCCTTCAGCCATTCTTGCTTTATCTGCTCTTCTCCCACGCACTCCTGCTCTGTCTGTTGTGATCGCACTGGGCCGGGCTAGTCCCCACGTTTACCCTCTTCCTCCCTCCATGCCATTTGCCCTGTCCCATCTGCACTTGGCAGGATCCGAACCATATTTAGGATCCAGTCCAGTTCCATGTCTTCCTTAATTCTCTGTGATCCCACCCCTGACATCTTCAGACATCTTTTTAGTTTCCACAGCACTTGCCATTGAATTTGTGTACAATCTAGAACTATGGGAGGAAAAAAAATTTGCCAAGATGTACAGTTGAACTGATTCTTTTCATTAATTTATGCCGTCCGGTAATTACTGTGCGAGATTTAAACACAATCAGACGGGGGCTTGTTTTAGCAAACGATGAACTGTGTGCCTGTGGGTTTTTTCAGGTTCCTCCCGTCACGCTCCTGCCGTCACCCAGCACGCACCCTATTTTAAGGGCACAGCCGTTGTCCAGGGAGAGTTCAAAGAACTAAGCCTTGATGACTTTAAGGGGAAATATTTGGTGCTCTTCTTCTACCCTCTGGATTTGTAAGTGTCGTTTCCGTGATGCTTTTATGCCCTTGTGAGCGCAAACAAAGATCCCTGCACACTGTCATTGCCTGTATCTAGTTAGGCTTCTTGTCAGAGGAAGGATTCTTTCTGAGTTTTTATTACTGATGGCCTTGTTGATACAGCTTGTATCTGTAGCTACTTTACAAGTAACAAAGTTAAGAGGATGGGTAGCGTTCTTTTTAAAGTGGCAGAGTTTTACAGTAAGACGGTACTCTTACTGAAGACTCTGGAATGGTGGTTCCTGCAAGCCAGTCTAAGGAGAAGTTTGCACTGGTCTAGAAGAAAATGAGGAAAGTAAAGATGATAAAATGAGGTTTTTTTTTTTCTTTAAATGTGTTTTTGTTGATTTTTAGAAGAGAGAGGAAGGGAGAGGGATAGAGATAGAAACATCAATGAGAGAGAAACATTATCAATCAGCTGCCTCTTGCATGCTCCCTACTGGGGATCAAACCACAGCTTGCACACGTGCCCTGACTGGGATCTAATGGTGACCTCTTGGTTCCTGGGGTGATGAACCCTACAACTGAACCCCACCAGCCAGGCAAAATGAGTTTTCTTATAAAGCTACTTGATTGATTGATTGATTTGAGAGAGAGAAAGGAGAAAACATTGATTTGTTGTTCATTTATTTATGCATTCATTGGTTGGTTCTTGTATGTGCCCTGACCAAGGATCGAATCTGCAACCTTGATGCATCGAGATAATGCTCTAACCACCTGAGCCACCCGGCCAGGGTAAAGCTGCTTTATTTAAATAAAATCGTTCTTTATTTATAGACTATCCTCCCACCCCCACTCCCACCCCACTTCTGGATATGATTCTTAACTAGAAAGGAGAGTCCAGTAAGGATGTTAGCCATTTTACCTTTTTCATCTTTAGGAAATCAGACGAGTTTCCGGAGTACTTATGTTAGGATTTTGAATCCTCTCAAGTTCTCTGATGAGAGTCTCTGCCCTTTTTCTCCAGCACCTTCGTGTGTCCCACAGAGATCATCGCTTTCAGCGACAAAGCCAACGAGTTTCACGACGTGAACTGTGAGGTCGTCGCCGTTTCCGTGGACTCCCACTTCACCCATCTCGCCTGGATCAACACCCCGAGGAAGGTACAGGCATCCTTCACCCCGCCTGTGCTCTCTGATCTCCACACCTGAAAAGACTCGCCTGGAAGCTGTTAAAGCAGGAGTAGTCTGAAGTGGCTGTTTGCAGGAACTCACCTGCTGGCAGCTTCTGTTCAGCTGTGTCTTCCTTGGCATTGCTTCGCATGCATCTTTACTCCCCGCTACGTTCTGTCTCCCGAGAGCAAACCGCAGCGGGGAGCAGGCTCAGCAGGGCGGGGGAACAGCTGGCCTGGGTCTGTTGCTTCCTCTCCCGCCAGTACCCTGTCCATCCCATGTACCTGTTGATCCCATGTACCCTGCCTGGCTTGTGAGGTGGTGGTTATGTTTCTATGTATCTCTCTCTCTTTCTCAAATAAATATTTAAAGGTGGGGAGTGGGGGGGGGGGAGAGAAAGAAAGGGCTAGTATTAGCTGGGTTTACATCCTACCTCTGTCCCTTCCTACCTGTGACCCGGAGCAAGTGACTTACTGTCCGCGCTGCAGCTTGCTCCCCTGTAAATGGTGGTGGTCATAGTTTCTGCTCCAGGATAGTTGGCTAGAGGAAGGGAGCTATGGAGCTGAGAGCAGTGTCGGGCCCGTTGTTGGTGCTCAGTGACTGCTGCCTGTTGCCATGACTGTCGGTGCCGCAGCTCGTGCACCTGGCCAAGGATGTGTGAGAGCACAGATGAGAACCAGCCCTGTTTGCATTTCTGTTAGAATGGCGGTTTGGGCCACATGAACATCCCGCTGTTGTCAGATTTGACTAAGCAGATTGCCCGAGACTACGGTGTGCTGTTAGAAGGTCCTGGTCTTGCGCTAAGGTAAGATCCAGTTCCTTATGAATTTAACATTGTTTTTCATGTTTAGCATCATCCCACTTCTTAGGGAATTTATAGAGATCTTGGTAAAGCGTTTGGAAAACCAAAAATCTTTAATTTTAGCTTTTTGCTAAGCACCGATGAATGCCTTGTTTGAGGGTTGGCAATCTTTCAGAAATAGCCCAGGCATGTTTGTCATTGTCCTCCCCCCCCCCCCCCCGCCCCCCTTCCTCTTCACCCCTCCCCAGCACCGCCCTGTGTCTCTTTCTAAAGAAGGATCTCATGGCTTGATGTTCATACTGCTCCACTGTTTCTGAGAGCCGCTCTCATGGGGGGCACATTCCTGGCATCTTTGGGGGAGGGGAACTGTCAGGGTAGAAGTCAGTATCCTGGAATGGGTGAGATGTCAAAAAGCTTTGGAATCAAAAACAGAGTTTGTGTGTGTGTGTGTGTGTGTCCGTGTGTCCCAGTCCGACTGTTGTGTGTCCATCTGTCCATCCAAGCTCAGCTCCTAAATAGCTGTGCAACTTAGGGCAACTGAGTCCCAGTTTTTCCGTAGCTCAAATGAGAATGTACCTCCCATGTTGGTTGTGAAACTAAGCAAGATGAGGCAGCTACAGTTCTCAGCCACAGGTCCTGGCAGCTGTATGACCTCTGTCTCAATGCCATTTCTGCTTTTGTGGATTCTGTGGTTAGGCCTTTTTTCCTTTAAGTGAGAACGCTTTCTGCCTTTGAGCCCCACATTCAAGCTCCGCCTTTCTGGAAGAGACAGAGAACAGAACGTACCTTAGAACTGGCATCTTGATGGCTGCTGAGTAAAGGAGGGGTTGGTAGAACTTTACCTCCAGAAAGCAGTTTTATGGGGGGTTTAAATGGTGCTGGAAGGACACTTGGAGTGGTGAACACACAGTACAATATGTGGATGATGTATTATAGAATTGTACACCTGACACCTAATATAATTTTATGAACCTGTGCCACCCCAATAAATTCGATAAAAAAGAAGAAAAAACTATTCTAAAATAAAATATATGTTAAGTTTCAAGTAGGTTTTTCCTTTAGATTTTTGCTCTGCATAGACGTAATTCTTTCTGCAAAGATTTTTCCCACGGGATTTTCTCCCCATGTACCCAAAAATTCACTCATTTTATAAGTATTTACTGAATATAGATAAAACACATCTGCATCCCTTCCCATTTGCTTATGGTTTCTTGCCAAGAGTTGACACAGCCGCCCAAAGAATGCTCGCTAAGTCACTGATAAGGAAAGAAGTCTCTGCTCTGTGTGACCTTTAGATCCTGCCTGACTTTTAGGTCCCATTTGTGAACTTGACCGTTCTGCCTGTTTTCCATGGCGGCCTGGTCCAGTCCTGCCTAACACTGAAAACTTTGTTTTAAGCATGTGATAGCACTTAATGAGTGCTGTTATAAGGGGAATTAAAGCCAGGAGAGGGTAGAAGGTAGATTCTCTCTCCCCCCGGGACTGTGGATGTACTAATGAGGACAGTTCTGGTTCAGAGGCCTCTTCATCATTGACCCCAATGGAGTCATCAAGCATCTGAGTGTCAATGACCTCCCGGTGGGCCGAAGCGTGGAAGAGACCCTCCGCCTGGTGAAAGCATTCCAGTTTGTGGAAGTCCATGGAGAAGTCTGCCCAGCAAATTGGACCCCGGATTCCCCTACGGTAGGTTTCCTTTTCAAAAGCCCTGGGACCCCAACAGGGGATCCCAGGTACTCACTGCCTCAAGGGCTGCTGGCCTGGAATGTCCAGAAAAGGAGCCCACACTCGGAGCAAGACCACTGATGATGCGCAAATGAATGAAGCTGCTGAGAGGGGGGACCCGTGGTTAGGCAAGCCGTTAATGTAACTTTCACCCGTGTGTTTTAAAGGAAACAGTTCAGCTTTGGAAAAGGTAAAGAATTTTAGGCTAGCCTGGCTGATATGGCTCGGTGGTTGAGCACCATGAGATCATGGTTAGATTTCTGAGTTGCCTGCTTAACTCCCAGTAGAGAGTGTGCAGGAGGCAGCCAATCAATGATTCCCTCTCATTGATGTTTCTCTTTCCCTCTCCCTTCCTCTTTGAATCAATATAAATATTTTTTTAATTAAAAAAAAAACTAAAAATTGAGAATTTTCAACTCACTTTTGAAACTACTATCTTAAAGTCAGCTAATTAAATGTTTATCTTTTCAGATCAAGCCGCATCCAACAGCTTCCAAAGAATACTTTGAGAAGGTAAACCAGTAGATCATCTCATGTACACCTGCAGCTTCTCAAAAGAACCACAGTTGGAGCTCATTTTTAGCATTTCAAAATAATTATGTGTAGAAAGCAAAAATCAATTATGTTTGCATTCATAAATAATACTCTAGATGTTTTGTATTGTAACATTGTCTAAGGCTTTTTAAACATGGTTAGGTACTAACTTTAGTCCTTTACTGGTAACTTCTTGATGGCTAGCTAGTTTATAGACTGCCTAGTTCACCTGTTTCTTTGATCATGTCTTCAATTGGAAACTCTTCTTAGCTTTACCTGAACTTCTGTGTACACCTGTGTAGGACAAGTAAGCGAAAGCCTCTGATCAAGAGTCCTGAAATTTCCTTTCTGAATTTCTTTGTAATAAACAGGGTGTTTTTGTGTGTGTGTGTTTTGTTTTTGTTTTGTTTTGTTTTTAAGATTATAGCTTTAAGTTTTAGTCCTAGCAGTCTACTTTAACTCTTGGAATAGAGATATATTTGATTGAAACAATGTGAATCATGTATTTAAAAAAAAAAAAAAAACAGTGGCAAAGTGACCTAACTGATCATGCATGCTCCTCATCCCTCAGAATTGTAGTTTCAGTAGTTATTTTGTTCATTTTATTTGTTAGCTGATTTAATGTCTGCATACGTTTCTAAATATTGATTGAAGGTAATTATAGAGGATATTTATTTAATCCAGGAATTGCATTTTGAAATCATTACAATTATATTTTCTGAAGCGCTCAATGTAAAGCATATAATAAAAAAAAATAAATATATTTTAAAATACAGCTGTTGTGGGCTCTAAGTGTACTCCGACTATGCCAGCAGACAATTTACTTCACTCGGGGTCCACAGAGAGGAATGAGACCATGGCTCCATGCCCAAGGAGCTCAGTTGATGGGGAAGAGAGAAATGGAAGCATCTGTTCATTATTTCAATAAGCTCATGAGTGCCTTCCATTTGCCAGGTGATTTTTTGGAGGCATAAGAGTGAACAAAAAAAGACAAGCCTTTTCCTTCATGCACCTCCACTCTAGAGGGAAAATACAACAAACATAAAAACACACACGCTGGAAGGAAACTGGCGCGGAGGCTAGGGCAGAGCTCAGGTGGTGTAGGTAGGGTTGTCAGGGAAGGCCTGGGGAGAGACCGTCTCCGGGTCTGCTTGCTCATCTGTAAAATGAGGGCAGTTATACCTGTCTTAGGGATTTGGTGAGGATAAATAACATGCAGAAAGTGAGGGAGTTAGGAAAACAAGGTGCTAGGCAAAGGCCCACGGCAAGAGCATTTTTGTGGGAACGAAGACCGGAAGGGCCCTGTGACCTCAGGAGCAGTGGAGGGGGGGAATGCTCATGAGCCCGGGTGCCTGAGGGGCACGCCAAGGCCTTTGGGTTCTATTTCCAGGTGGGAAATATCAGGAAGGTTTGAGAAGAGTTACATCATCTTGTTCGAAAACGATTACTTGCACCTTTGTTAAGGCTACATTACAAGGGTCCAAAGGGGAGCAGAGAGGTCAGCTGGGCTGGAGTGGTGACACTTGGGGATAGGACCAACAGAATAATACAGGTGTGCTAAAGTCTGGTACAATAAATGTATTCCTGGGTCATGAGGAGGGCACTTTACCCAGCTGTGGGCATCAGGGAAGGCTTCCCGGAAGAGGAGGTGACGTGCTGAAGATTATTGAAAGGTAAACCAGATGGGCTGAGCAAAAGGAGCTGCAAAGGCACGTGGGCCTGAAGGGAACCATGACCTGGTTTCATGTTCCTGGAGAGGAAGGCAAGAGAGGAAATAGGTCTGGGGTGTTAGCAGCCCAAACTGAGCACTTCCAAAGGGCCTGCACCATGTTGGGGCTTCTACCTCTTCCGTCACTGATCCTCAACCAAACCCCAAGTCAGTACAATTAAGTGACATTGTACAGATTCATAAAGAGACCTGGAGAGCCAAGGACGGTTTGGCTCAATGGATAGAGCGTCGGTCTGTGGACTGAGGGGTCCCGAGTTCGATTCTGGTCAAGGGCATGTACCTTGGTTGATGGCATATCCCCAGTAGGGGGTGTGCAAGAGGCAGCTGATCGATGTCTATCTCTCAACGATGTTTCTAACTATCTCCCTCTCTGTACAAAATCAATAATATATATATATATATATATATATATATATATATATATATATATATATATATATATATATATATATGAGAGAGAGAGAGAGACCTGGAGAGACTGACTTGACTAGGCCACACAACCAACGGGTGGTGCTCGTTCCCCAGCCAGGACTCCTGAGGACCCCTGAGCACCCCAAGCATCACACTAGCTTCTACCAACACACACCCCTGCCCATCCCACTGGGCGAAGGGTAAGGGGCCTCAGGAAGAAGGAAGGTGCATTTTTCTCTCTACCAGTTGCTGCTACTTGATCTGGTTTTGCCCCAGAGCTGGAGAAAACAGTATACTCAGCTGGGTTTCATGCTCTGATAGACCTTTCTCCATCTTTTTGAAATAAGGAGTCCACATTTTCAGTTTGCAGTTTTTCTTATCCCCAGTCCTGGCACACTGGCGGTAAGGGACAACAGAAGGGATCTCCCAGGGTGATGTCCAAAGCTTAGGTTGCGCTCCCGCCCGGAAGCGGCCTATGGACCTAGGGGATGGCCATGCAGGGTGGCGATGCCTGGTCTGTGGGAGAGGTGGGCCCACAGGCACAGTGGGTGCGCCGGGACTGGGACAGGGAGGCTTAAGTGTGGGATCTGGGGCGTTAGGAGGCGGTGACACCGAGCAGCAGGCACATCGAGCGCCAGGAGCTGGGACATCGGGTGACATCGAGCAGCGGGGAGCAGCGGGGAGCAGCGGGGAGCAGCGCGGAGCAGCGCGGAGCAGCGCGGAGCAGCGCGGAGCAGCGGCGGGGCCCGGACAGCGCACACAGGGGGCGCGGGGCGCGCCCGTGGAGACACCCCGCCGCCGGCGGCGGCCGGACCGGCACCGGGAGCGCGCACGCCCGGGGCGGGGCACGCCGCCGGCTCCTCCTCCCGCCGCCGGCCGCCGGCCTCTCCGGCCATCAAGCTGGGCCCGGGGGACCCGCAGGAGGAGGCGGAGGCGGAAGCGGGCGTGCGGGGTTGTCCAAAAAGATGGAGCCCAACGCGCACTTCTGGATGACCGAGCGCCAAGTACGCGGGCGCGGGGGCGGGGCGGGCGGGCCCGGTGACCTTGGGCAGCCACGTGGCCGCACGACCCTCCCTCCGCCTCCTCCCGAGGCCCTGGGGAGGCCCTGGGGAGGCCCTGGCTGGGACCCGCGGCCCCCCGCCCCGGCCGCCTGGGAGGGCCCTGCAGATCGCCCTGCGGAGGAGTCAGCTGCCCTCGCCGGAGTCCGCGCCCCGCGGCCCGGGCTGCCCTGAGCCTGGGGCGGCCTCGGGGTGGAGGGGAGCAGGGCCTCCCCGAGCCCCCGGCCTCCCCGAACCCCGGCCTCCCCGAGCCCCGGCCTCCCCGAGCCCCCCGCCTCCCCGAGCCCCGGCCTCCCCGAGCCCCCCGCCTCCCCGAGCCCCGGCCTCCCCGAGCCCCCCGCCTCCCCGAGCCCCGGCCTCCCCGAGCCCCCCGCCTCCCCGAGCCCCGCGCCTCCCAGCCTCCGAGGCGCGGCCACTCGGAGCCGGCACCGGCCACACGGGCCCCGCCTGCGGGCAGTGGCCGGCCGCGCTGTCCAGTAGCAACAGGACCGGAGTCCCTGGGTGATTTAAAATTCTCCAGCAGCCAGGTTACAAAAGGCAAAAAGCAGCAGCCGAAATGAATTTGAGTCATATATTGTATGTATCGCAGTAGTTACAACACGTTAACATTTCAACGTGAATTCTATATGAAAATTATTAGTGCGATATTTTACATCTTTTTTTTGTTTAAGTCCTCACCCGAGGATATGTTTTATTGATTTTCAGAGAGAGAGAGGAAGAGAGAAACATCTGTGGGTCGCCTCTGAGAGGGTCCTGACTGGGAATTGAACCTACAGCCTAAGTGCATGCCCCGACCAGGAATCGAGCTGCAACCTTTAGGTCTCCAGCCCAACCAAGCCACCTGGCCAGGGTTACATCCTTTGTATGGTCTTGGAAACCTGGTGTATGTTTTATTTTTAAAAACATATTGTATTGATTTTTCACAGAGAGGAAGGGAGAGGGGATAGAGAGTTAGAGACATCAATGAGAGAGAAACACGGATCAGCTGCCTCTTGCACACCCCCTACTGGGAATGTGCCTGCAACCAAGGTACATGCCCTTGACCGGAATCAAACCTGGGACCCCTCAGTCTACAGGCTGACGCTCTATCCACTGAGCCAAACCGGTTTCGACTGGTGTATGTTTTACATATAAATTACATCTTGATTTTGCGGGACCACCTAGCCAGGGCTCCATGGCCGCGCGCGGCTAATTGGACAGCACAGTGCGTGGCTAATTGGACAGCACAGTTCTAGTACGTTCTCCAGCCATCCCCTGAAGGAGGGCCCAGGCCTCATTTTTCAGGTGGGGAAGTAGAGAAGGGACAGGGAGCCCCCATGGTCCTGGCAGAGCCAGGACTCGAACCCTGTGAGGTCTGAGGGCTTTTTGAAGCAAACCGGACCTCCTTTCCCCACATGACAACAGTTTAACTCCTTAAGGGCAGTTTGATCCTGGAGTGGGTCAGAGCACAGGCCGCTGAGTCTTTGCCCGCTGGGTTCCTGGGGTATATCGGGCCCTTCTGAGCCTCAGTCTTCTCACCTGTAGGATGGGGATTCTGGGAGATGCTGCAGGTAGACCATCCCATTAGGTTGTCAGAAATAATGCTAACCATGAACATCGTTGCTGTTCTGCTGTTAACTTCCGGGGTGCTTTTCTTAAGTCTTTTTTCCAGAGATTTGTTCAGTGGACAGAGTTACTGGATCCTACAAATCTGTTCATTTCAATTGTAAGTATTTTTCTTGTTTTCGGAGCTCATGGATTTTACCTTTTATTCTGAACCAGGAAGACTGTGTCCCTGTGGAGAGCAGATGAAATAACAATCCACTTAGATCACCATGCTCTTACTAGTCCTCCGAATGAGCATGTTAGATGGAAATGTAATAAGTAAAAGTGGGCATCCAGGTAACACGAGGACAAGCCCTGGGCCAGGGGCTGGAGTTCAGAGGGGATGAGACAAGCCTTGCTGGGGATGGAGGACAGACGGGCAATGCTAGTCCCCAGGCCGACGCTCTGTCTACCGAGCCAAACCGGTCAGAGCAAAGCCTGTGACTCTTAAATCTGTGGATACATCGGAGCAGTGTTAAGCTTTAACATTTCTTTAAATTTGGTTTTATAAGATTTCTTTATATTTGATTTTAGAGCAAAATAGAGAAGGCAAGGCAACTGTTGCTAACAAATGAAGATGGGTCCATTCACGACTTGCAGGACAAAAGGGTAGGTATCCCTGCCTGGTTCAGGGCTGGGTGTGGTGGCCTGTGGGGGGTTCTGCCCTCAGATGCCCTGAAAGCTGGTGGACCTTGGTCATTGAAAACAGGGGGCGCGCTTTTTTAAATGGGGCTTGTTTTTTCATTGTTAGTGTTCCTTCTCATGAACCAGATTAATATCCGGTGCCAGTAGGAGAAACCAGTATTAAGGAGGAAAAAATCATAGGCTTCCTCCCATGGAAGGGACACTGGGAGAGATTCTCTGTGGCACATTCCAGAATTGAGGCGGGTCTCCCCAGTTGGAATCTATTTCTTATTGGGGCCGCTGGACTTCGAGGCTGGCTCTGTTGCCAGGGACTTAGCTAATGGTGTGCTGTGTCAGGGATCAGTTAGGTATTGGCCGTGAGTCCTCTCCAAGGTCAGAGGCCTAGGGACTTTTAATGTTTTGGTTGTTGATGTTTTTTTAATTGATATATATATATGTATATATTGATTTTAGAGAGGAAGGGAGACGGATAGAGAAACATCAATGAGAGAGAATCATTGATTGGCTGTCTCCTGCATGCCCTTACTGGGGATCAAGCCCAAAACCCAGGCATGTGCCCTGGCCAGGAATCCAATCAGAACCCTCTTGGTGCATGGGTTGATGCTCAACCACTGAACCACACCAGCCAGGCTTGCTCTTTTCTTTACTTGGATTATCTCTGTGGTGGTTGTAAGCTCCTTTTCTGTTTGGTTTGTGCTCTCCCTGTGGTATGTAGCAGTCTGCCCTCCACTCTGAAAAGGGGAGCAAAGGCAGCATCAGAAATAGACAGGAGAGATTTGTTTGCTGTCAAGCCACCTTTAAAGCTATTGCTTGTGCCCAGTTGCTATGTGGCTCAGTGATTGAGCATCGACCCAGGAACCAGGAGGTCACCAGTTCGATTCCCGGTCTGGGCACATGCGCAGGTTGCGGACTCAGTCCCTACTGGGGATTGTGCAGGAGGCAGCCAATCGATGACTTTCTCTCATTGATGTTTCTCTCTCTTTTTCCTTCCCCCCCCCCACAAGATCAATAAAAATGTATTTAAACACACACACACACTCTCTCTCACACTCTAAACTATTGCTTGTTTTTTCTCTTTTTAGATCCAAGCAGCTTGGAACAGAAGTCTCGTAAGTTTCAGCCCCTTCCTAATGGTTAGCCTCCCGAAAAGAACAAAGCCAAACATCACACTAACCTGTGTGCTTCCCTCTTTGAAGGCAACAGTGCATCCTGACAACAGCAGACTGATCCCGGGTCCGTTCCGACCTGCAGGTGAGCCGAGTCTCATGGCAGAGGGGGCCTGGAGCAGGTGATCTCTAAGAACTTATTGTAATCGTTTTTTTTTTCTGGAAGGATTTCTGACAGTGAGTCAGAAACCACAGCTTTACAAGAACGTTTGAGAGGCGTGGGGAGAGCAGATCTGAGGCCCGGAGTGGTGTCCAGTGCTGGGGAGAGAGCTGGGGTTTGAGGGAAGGGACAGGCTTCCCTGCCTGAGCCAGGCTGCGTTCACCAACCCCAAAGCTCTCCAGGCCGCCTGCTAGTGTTATTTTTTTAATGTCTGTTTTTAAAATATATTTTTATTAATTTCAGAGAGGAAGGGAGAAAGAGAGAGAGAGAACTATTAACGATGAGATAGAATCATTGACTGGCTGCCTCCTGTACTTCCTGTCCCCTACTTGGGAATGAGCCCACAACTTGGGAATATGCCCCGACTGGGAATTGAACCATGACCCTTGAGCTGTGCAGGTTGGGCATCTGTTAATATCTATCTATCTATCTTTCTTTCTTTCTTTCTTTCTTTCTTTCTTTCTTTCTTTCTTTTTTTCTTTCTTTCTGTCTTTCTTTTCTTTTTTTCTTTCTTTCTTTTTAAAAATATATTTTATTGATTTCTTTACAGAGAGGTAGGGAAAGAGAGAGTTAGAAACATTGATGAGAGAAACATCACTCAGCTGCCTCGATGTGCCCACAACCAAGGTACATGCCCTTGACCGGAATCGAACCTGGGACCCTTCAGTTTGCAGGCAGGTGCTCTATCCACTGAGCCAAACCGGGCTGCTAGTATTTTTAAATGGAGGCTTTCTTAGTTGTCCCGGCTGGTGAAATCATTGGCCCTGGGTGATGAGCTCACCTCTAGCCCCTCCCCGCTCCCACAGGAGGAGGTTAGGGGAGGGCGCAGAAAGGTCCAGCTTTCTCCTCAGATGGTTGGCTCCCTGGCAACCAGCCTCCAGCCTGGGGGCTTTCCAAAGTCCCCTCTGCCGTGCACTCCGTCCGGTGTGGCTGGAAGGAGCTTGTTATGAGTAACCGTAACCTTGACCGAGTTCCTCTCACTTGGGAAATTCCAAGAAGTTTAGGGTCTCTGTGCCAGGAACGGGGAAGGAGAGCAAATGCACATTTTGTATGCTACTGTTACCAGAGGTCCGGTGCATGAAATTCATGCAAGAGGGGGCCTTCCTTCCCCCAGCTGCCCGCACCGGCTTCCCTCTGGCACCCGGGACCCAGGCTTCCCTGGAAGCCCTGGCTTTGTCTGGGAGGACGTCGGTCTAATTAGCATATTGTGCTTTTATTATTATAGATAAACCACAGGCGTAGTACATTTGCGTGGCAGGGTGCCCAGGTGCCGGTTAGCACTGCTTACCTCTGGCGAGGCTGCTGGGCGGGAGCCTCGTTAGGTCTTCCTGAGCTGGGCTGGTGTACATTTTGCCACGTGCACATGTTCTTTTTATTAAGAAAATAAGAACGAGTAAGAAATACCCTCCGGTGTCGTGCCTTCCGGGGGCTGGAGAAGAGGTTGGGGAGGGCTGCCCCCTGGCCTCTCCGCGGCCTCTGACCCCCTTCTCTTTGCCAGCTCTCCTGCCGTTCACGGCGCCCATGGTGAGTGAGCCGCTCCATGCTGTGGTGTGAGCGGTAGGCATGCTGGGAGGTGGGGGAGGTGAGGAAGGTGCCCACCCATCTCCCACGCTCCAGCTCCCAGCCCCTGCCCTGGCCTGCCTGAGAGATGGTCCTGGTCCCTGCCTCGGCCCCTGTGTGCTCTTCACCTACCCTGCCCGCCCCACGCCACGCCCCACTTACCTAGTCAGGCAGCCGGGCCTCTGGAAAGTCCACAGGGTGTCACAAGTGCCCTGGCTTTGACTGCCTCCTGTGCACAAGGAGGAGACGCATGAGTTAAGAGGTGCTTCCTGCCCAGGCCAATGGAATGCTCCTTTACCGTTTCTCCCCAAGCCCTCGCCCTGGCACCGGCCCCCACCTGGGACCTGGAATTGCCCTCACTGGGGCCAGCCCAGCGTGGCTCTCAGGAGGTGACAGCACGGCTCTACCACTCCTTCCACACCTTCCCCTCGGTGTCCCTGCCGAGAGCACCCTCCTCAGCTGCCCTGCTCAGCTGCAGGGCTCAGAGGCAGGGGCCACTGTGAGACCCAGTGTCCTCGGTGCCCAGGTGGTGCCCATTCTACATCGCTTGCTCCATGACCGGCGGCCTGCATCACACTGTCCTCCCCTCGTCCCAGCTCCCGGGGGCCCTTCTGCATCCCCCCTGGGACGTTCTTGGCTCCTCCGAGCTCTCGCTCCCCTGAAACACTATAACGGCTTTTTTTTTTTTTTTTTTTTTTCTCCTTTTAAAGGTATTTCTGTCGCTGGTGCAGGTGAAAAGCCTGAAGTCCATCATTTTGCCTCAGGTAGCACGCATTTCAGTGTCCTGATTGCTAAAGTCTGTTCTTAAAGCCAAACTGACTTTGCCCTGTCTTCCCGCAGCTGTCTTTCTGCACCTACAGCACAGCGTTCAACCTCATCAATGGGAACAAGAGCTACGTGAGTACCGGGTGCCCCGGAGGGTGGCAGCTTTTGGGGTTACTCTTTGTGTTCATTATCTTTTCGGGCTAAACTGTGCCATTGGCTAAACATATCCTACTGTTTTCCCCAGCATCGTGGCCTCTATGAGACTGTATTACTAGCGACAGGAGTGATTGCTTCTACAGCCTTTTTCGGAGTAGGTATTTTAAAATCTGTGTGTGTGTGTGTGTGTGTGTGTGTGAGAATCTTCACTGGAGGATGTTTTTCCATTGATTTTTAAATATATATATTTTATTGATTTTTTTACCTAGAGGGAGAGGGAGAATTAGAAACATCGATGAGAGAGAAGCATTGATCAGCTGCCTCCTGCACACCCTCTACTGGGAATGTGCCTGCAACCAAGGTACGTGCCCTTGACTGGAATCGAACCTGAGACCCGTCAGTGCCCAGGCCGATGCTCTATCCACTGAGCCAAACCATCTAGGGCTTTTTCATTGATTTTTAAAGCGAGTGGGAGGGGGAGAGACAGAGAGAGAGAAACATCCATGCCAGAGAGACACATTGATTGATTGCCTTCATACACATCCTGGCCAACCAGGGCCGGGATCGAGCCTACAACTGAGGTACCTGCCCTTCCTTGACTGGAATCAAACCCTCCCGTCCACGCTCTGACACTATCTACTGAGCCAAACCAGCGAGGGCTAAAATCTCTTTGGTTCTTCAGAATTCAAAACAAAGCAAAACTTTATTCTGATGATAAATTTACATTCCATCTTAAACAATTCATGCAACACGATTAAGAGTAAAGAAGAAAATAAAAGTCACCTGTAACCCTAACCCCCCTATACTCCGTGAGCATTCCAGGTGTCTAGGCATATGCACAGTATGGTTATCTTTAAGAAATTATTTTATGCTCCACAAACGTGGTATCCACAGTGTATGTTGCTTTGGGTGTCAGGATATTAGAATGGTTAGAAGTGTAGACTTTAGAGTCAGGTGAGCCTAGGTTTGTATCTTAGCTTAATTCCTGAACAGCTCAGCAACTCTGGACACGTTAATGGCCCTTCTTGAACCCTCCGTGTATTCCTCTATGATCAGGAGAACAGCTCCGTGCTGCACAGATTAAAAAACCCACAGAGAGCCCCGCTGGGGTGGCTCAGCAATTGAGCATAGACCCAGGAACCAAAAGGTTGCCAGTTCGATTCCCAGTGAAGGCACATGTCCAGGTTGCGGGCTGGATCCTCAATGTGAATGTGCCGGAGGCAGCTCATTGATGGTGTTCCTGTCTTATCTATGTTTCTGTCTCTCTGTCCCTCTTCCTTCCTTTCTCTCTAAAATTTTATTTTAAAAAAAACACATTTACAAATAAATAAGTAAAGTAAAAATACACAAGAGAGCGTGGCTGGTGTCCTCAATGGTTGAGCATCAGCCTATGAACCAACCGGTCATGGTTCGATTTCCCCTCAGGTTGTGGGCTTGGTCCCTGGTGGGGGGTGGGGTGGGGAGGGGCTGCAGGAGGCAGCTGATCAATGATTCTCTCTCCCTCTCCCTTCCTCTCCGAAATCAATAAAAACAATAAAAACAGAGATCGCTGGCCGAGGTCTGACCAGTGATAGGAATGAGGTCGATGCTAGCTCTCTGCCGTCGAGTATGTTCACCTAATGGCTTGTTCTGAGCAGTAATGATTTTTTTTTTCTTGTTTTCTAGATACTCCCTCGTTTGCTCCTAATGAAGAACGTGGTGAAGAACGTGTTCCTCCGGGAAACCCTGCCGGCCGCCATCCTCAGTAAGCAGGGCGCTGCGGTCCGTGAGGCTGTGAGCCTTTCTCCCCTCCTCGGGGACGGCCGGGTCTCGGGGCCACCCTGTGGCTGGTGGCAGCCCCCGTTGGCGGCGGGCGGGCGCCCCCGGCCCAGATGAGGTCTTTGCTGTGAGAGGTGACACGTTCTCTGTAGACACCCCTGTAGCTGTCAAAGGGTGGACACAGACCTGGAAACACAAAGCACATTCTAAAGACGATCTGCCCAAGCCCTCTCCCTGTATGTTTCCCTTCACCCTGACAGCAGTTCATGGGTAGGCAATATTACCCCCATTTACAGATGAGGAGACTGAGGCAAAAGAGGGTCATCGGAAGGACTGGTGGTCTGACTCCAAGGAAGTGACAGAGGCATTGACCAACTGTGTTTTAAAAAATATATATTTTATTGGTTTTTTTACAGAAAGGAAGGGAGAGAGATAGTCAGAAACATCGGTGAGAGAGAAATATCAATCAGCTGCCTCCTGCACACCTCCCACTGGGGACATGCCTGCAACCAAGGTACATGCCCTTGACTGGAATCGAACCTGGGACCCCTCAGTCTGCAGGCCGATGCTCTAGTCACTGAGCCACACCGGTTTCGGCTGACCAGCTATTTTAAGTTTGCCGTCTGCAAGTTCACTGGCTCACGCTCCAGATCTGGGTCTGGGTATCGGTGCGTTGAAGAGTTGGCAGAATGTCAGTGGTAATGTTTGGGACGTTATTATGGAAACCTGGTCAGACCAGCTAAGCCAAAAAGGGGGGCATACCTAAAGGGGTTTCTCCTGGAATCCTGTCAGGAAGCCAGGCTGGACTTTCCGGGCGGCTGGAGCCTGGTGCTGGGTTGCAGTCAGGACCCAAACCCACAGGCCAGCAGCCCTCCCCCGGCTCCACCGCCCCGCGGACAGCCTGGCAGGCCCGGCCCCAGCCCGGCGGCCCCTGAAGGCTGCGGAGGCACAGCCGAGAGGGAGAGGCTGGACCCCAGAGCAGACGTCCCCCCTCCCTGGACGGAAGCTCACCTCTCTGTCGTGTTCTCTTCACAGCCCAGGTCAGTGCCCTGAGTGTGGCCACCTCCCGCAGTTTGGAGCCCGTGCGAGGGATTGAGGTCATGGACAAGGAGGGCAATGTCATCGGCTATTCCCGGAGAGCCGGGACGAAGGTAGGGGACCACGGTGACGCAGTAGCTGCTTGCCTTTGGGGTATCGAGTCCATCTCTCCGGGAGGAACTGCATTTTTTTTTTTTTTTTTTTTTGCTACGAATGCCACATTGGGGTAAAAGAAAGCTCAGATGAAAGAAAGTCTGCTTTAGAAAGAAAAGCGTGCCTTTTTCTTACGAAGAAAGTGTCTGCCCCTGTGCGTAAGCATGAGCATTCTTTGAGCATCTCTCTGCCGCCGAAAGGCTTCTCCTCGTTGGCTAAAGTTTCAGCAAGTGCGTAACCGGCAGTATCTGATGGTAACCGGGCACCTCCGCTTGGGTGTCAGAGCCCCGGCCTCCTCAGCCACGCGGGGCGGGCGGTGACTGGCGCCACGGGGCCTCCCCGTGACCGCTGTCCCCTTCGGCGTGTCTGCCCCTCGCCCAGGGGACACATGGACAGGGGCCGGCCTCACCCACGGACGGTGGCACGCCCCAGGCTCACGGCCACTCTTCTCTGCCAGAAGTGGAGCGGTTTTGTTTTATTTTTTTGTTCCTGAAAGTTTACTTTGGGACCCACCCTCCTCAGCTCCCTCTGTGGTCGCAGGGAAAGGCATTGTCTGCAGAGGGATCAGAGGAGCAGGTGCGGGCCCGGAGGCTTCGGCCAAGACCCGGGGAGTGAGGTGGGAGGCAGGGAGTTGGGAGGGGATGAGGCCTGTGTCCTTATGTATTAATACCTTGCACAGAGCAGTGGTGTATGTGGAGTTGTGTCTTACTGGGGGGGGTGGGCTTTGAAGTTAACACAGTGTCGTTGGCGGTCATAATTTCCCCTGAAAGTCTCCTACGTTGTCCTCAAGTACACATGACTTTGTGCATGTAACTCAGACAGTAAATTATGTCTTTACATGGTCACTGCATAGAACAGGGTACAGAATAGAAAAGATGACAAAACATTATAAGATCTACATACCTGTCTGTGCAAAGTAAAATTTTATAGCATACTTTTAAAAATATTTTTATTGATCTCAGGGAGGAAGGGAGAGGGAGGGAGAGAGAGAGAAACATCAATGAGAGAGAAGGGTCGATCGGCGGCCTCCTGCGTACCCCCTACTGGGGATTGAGCCCACAACCTGGGCATGTGCCCTTTACAGGAATTGAACCTGGGATCATTTAGTCCACAGGCCGACGCTCAATCCACTGAGCCAAACAGGCTAGGGTTATAGCACACTTTTAATTGCACAAGCAAAAATGGGTGCATGCATGCAGACCCGTGGGTGTGACTCCTGGTGCACGCCAAGCTGGGCTTTTGGAGCAGTCTCCACCTGGGAGGGGTGGCAATAACGGGGGGCTGTTCAGGACAGGGAAGCCAGTGGCAGAACCCTGGCCTGGAAAGAAAGTGCAGATTGGTGCACCAGCATTTCTACCAGGGGGATTGCCATTTGGTTCTAGGTTTGCTTAGTAGCTGCCTTTGCTTATTCTTAGCGTTTTATTTGGAACTGTCAGTGGACTGATGGAGGCCATTGCGGAGTCGGGAGGTAAATCCGCCTTCAAGTCGCTCCTGGCCCCGACCCCAGCCGTCCTGCCGGCGTGTCCACGCCAGGTGCTGCCTCTGCCTCTGCCCACGGGTGATTTTTGAAGCGAGAAGGGGGAGCTGCCGTTCGCTTGTCTCTGTCCTCAATCACAGGGTCCCTGGAAATCGTCTCCCTCCCCATCCTAAGCCGCTTCCGTTCGCTTCCCGTCAGGCCGTCAGAGACACAACGATATCCAGAGTCGTGCTGTTCGGGACCTCGGCTTTTATTCCTGAAGTCTTCGCGCAGTTTTTTAAAAAGTAAGATGCAAGCTCGTCTCCCCGGGGAGGACACGTCTGACAGTCAGAATCCTTCCAGAACGTGTCTGATCCGAAGCTGGTGGGCGGGGCGGGAGGAACGTGCTTCCGTGGTCTTCCTGCTGGGCTCCTCCATCCCGCTGGGGACAGGACCGACCTGGAATCCAGATGTGCACATGCCAGTGGACCTGGCACCGGGTCCGGGCTGTCCGCAGCTAGCTCTGTGCTCGGCCACGTCCCAGCATCTGCTGAGGCACGTTCCCCCGCTTCCAGGACGATGGGTTTCGGTGATTTGCAGGTTCTCCCAGCTCTGATGTGCTATGAAGGCTGTCCCAAGCCTCTTGCCCCTCCTTCCTGCCAGGCATGGGTTAAATTAGCGTAAGTGGCCCCAGACTCAGTCGCCTGTCATCCCATTGAGAAGGAAGCAACAGCCTGTTGGGAGGAGGGCCAAGGGGTCAGCCAGTCTGAGCAGCCCGGCTTGCCGTAGTGCAGGATGGAAGGGGGCCGTGTTGGTGTAGATACCGGGTGCGGGCAGCTGAGCAGCAGCGGCTCAGGGTGGGACAGCCCTCTCCTCTCCCGCCCACATTCCTTCCTGTGGATGAGGTATTCCTTCCTGTGACTGCTGACACCTCCTAGGATTAGCCTCACAGTGTCCTAATGAAAAAGAGAAACACAGCAAACCCAGGACATGGCGGGGAGAGAGGGGGAAGGTGGGAGGGAGGCAGGGAATGTCCTTTGCTCAGTCCGCAAGCTCCCGGGAAGGATTTCATCGGCCCACGTGGGGTCACCTGCCTGTTGCTGAGCCAATCCGCTCAGTCCAGCATGAGGAGCTAGGAAGCCCCAGCCAGGAGCGTGTAAGGAGCATCTTTTTCAGGAAGCAGCAGCGTCCTGGGCGGCGTGAACCGTGGCTTCCCACCATCAGCCCGGCTGGATGGGTGTGGAAACCCTGCTTGGTCAGGATCTTGCTGGACGGCTCTGGCTGGCCTCAGAGCTGGGCTCCGGGAAAGCTGGGGCCCTGGGTACCTGTGTAATGGGACCGGCTGTCTGCTGGGGAGAGATGGTCCTCGTTTCCCAGGGAGCCCTGGGGGGCCCAAAAGAACCCTGTGCACCCCACAACCATGATAGCATCCAAGGCAGGGTGACTCCTTGGCTGGCTCACCTCTTTCGTTTTGCATCTGGATGAACCCAGAGCTCAGAGGAGAAAGGGACATGTCTGCGAGTCCCCAGTCTGTCCCAAGCAGAGCCCCCGACGGACTGCAGTACCCCCTGGCTCAGACTGGCTCCCAGGATGGGGTTCTTTGCATCTTCCCACACTGTCTCTCATCCTCTCAAAGGCCGGGGTCAGATTGTCACATCCGTGTCAGCTCTAGGGCCTGACCGCTCACCTGGACAAGTTACTTAACAGGACAGTGGCTCTGTCTCGTGCGTGTGTGTGTGTGTGTGTGTGTGTGTGTGTGTGTGTGTTTGCGCGCGCGCGCGAGCGATCAGATGAGCAAATGCACATCCTGGGGAGCGATCAGATGAGCAAATGCACATCTAGTCCTTCATCCCGGGCCTGGACTGGCTGCCTCTGAAAGGAGCCTGTAACCTTCTCCCTCCCAGGACCCCGTTGTTTGTGCGATACCCCCAGTCCTTGTGGACCCTGAAGCTGTCTTGTACCATCTTGGTCATGGGACTGATGGTGCCGGTTTCCTTCAGCATGTTCCCGCAGATACAACGGGTAAGTGCCCCCACCTGACTTCCTCTCAAAAAATAACTTTTTCTGCCGAAACCGGTTTGGCTCAGCGGTAGAGTGTCGCTCTACAGACTGAAAGGTCCCAGGTTCTATAGGTCAGGGGCATGTACGCTGGTTGTGGGCACATCCCCGGTAGGGGGTGTGCAGGAGGCAGCTGGTCAATGTTTCTCTCTCATCGACCTTTCTAACTCTCTCTCTCTCTTCCTCTCTGTAAAAAGTCAATAAAATATATATTTTTTTAAAATAACTTTTTCTTCCCCTCATTATGAGTAAAATAAATTATTTTCCTAAAAAATCTGCCGTTTATAAAAGTATAAAAGAAAATAACTTGATTGACACAGAACCCCACCCCCCAAATCCCTTGTGCAGTTTTGGATTCAATTTTCTTTTTTTTAAATAGGTTTTTATTGATTTCAGAGAGGACGGGAGAGGGAGAGAGATAAACATCAATGATGAGAGAGAATCATGGATGGGCTGCCTCCTGCATGCCTCCCACTGGGGATAGAGCCTCAACTAGGGTCCCCCTAACCCCCGGCTGGGAATCCAACCGTGACCCCCTGGTTCATAGGTTGTTGCTCAACCACTGAGCAACACTGGCCAGGCTGGATTTTGTTTTTCTTAACAGTATATCAGAAGCATTTTTAGGGGATGTTAAAAAAAAGCATCACCAGCCGGAACCGGTTTGGCTCAATGGATAGAGCGTCGGCTTGGGGACTGAAGGGTCCTGGGTTCGATTCCGGTCAAGGGCATGTGCCTTGGTTGCGGGCATATCCCCAGTAGGGGGTGTGCAAGAAGCAGCTGATCGATGACTCTCTCTCATCGATGTTTCTAACTATCTCCCTTCCTCTCTGTACAAAATCAATAAAATATATTAAAAAAAAAAAAAAAGAAACATCGCCACCTTTGAGCTATTTTAAGTTTTATCATTCCAGTGGAACACTCTGCAATGGTAGAAATGTCCTGTAAGAGTGGTGTCCAGTACGGTAGCCACTGATTGTGTGGCTGTTGAGCACTTGAAATGCAGCTGGTGTGACTAAGGGACCAAGCTGCAACTTAAATCAGTATCACATGCTGCTGGTGGCCACGGTATTGGGCTGCACAGGTCCGTACACTAGGACCTGTTATCATTCATGCTGAGTCAGCCTGCCTGGACCCAGCTCCTCCAGACCTTGATCACTTTGCTTAAACCCTGAGACTCTGTCTCTGTCTGTCTAAGAGAGATGGCTGTGATAGTGGCTCTGTTGCTGGTCCCAAGGACATTGCTGATGCTAGTAGATGTTAGGGGTTTCTGGCATTTCTTGGCTGAACATCGTTAATACTGGCAACTTTGCTAGCGCATAGCATAAAAGTTTTAAATTATTTAAGATAGTTGCTATCGTCCTACGAAGGTTGTGAGGGACAAGGGACAGAGAGGAGTAAAATAGATAAAACAGAAGGAAAAACCTTCTGAATCCTCAGTCCTCTTTTAGAACAGTTTGTTACGAGTGCAACAAAAGCGAACCCTTTGCAAGTAATCCCCCCTGATTGCCTTGGCCCTCAGAGTGGGTGGCTTACCGGCAGGTGCCGTCACTGACAGCAGCTGTCAAATCTCGTGGGATAGGCAGATTGTTAATAGGGGAAGCTGAGTGATGCAGACATGAGGGCTTATTGTAGTCTTTCTGCATTTGCTTCCGTTTGACATTTTCCAGAAGAATGTTTTTAAGAGGTGAGGTTATTTTTTTTATATATATATATATATATTTTATTGATTTTTTACGGAGAGGAAGGGAGAGAGAGAGAGAGCTAGAAACGTTGATGAGAGAGAAACATCGACCAGCTGCCTCTTGCACACCCCCCACCGGGGATGTGTCCGCAACCAACGTACATGCCCTTGACCGGAATCGAACCTGGGACCTTTCAGTCCGCAGACGGACGCTCTACCGCTGAGCCAAACCGGTTTCGGCAAGAGGTGAGGTTATTATTATTATTGCTCTAAATTAGACTTAACTGACAAAGAGTTAGGCTGTGAAATAAATGCTTTCTGAAAATGTCTTTAAAAAACACATTTGAGCCGAAACCGGTTTGGCTCAGCGGTAGAGCGTCGGTCTGCGGACTGAAAGGTCCCAGGTTCGATTCCCGGTCAAGGGCATGTGCCTTGGTTGCGGGCACATCCCCGGTGGGGGGTGTGCAAGAGGCAGCTGGTCGATGTTTCTCTCTCATCGACGTTTCTAGCTCTCTATCCCTCTCCCTTCCTCTCTGTACAAAAATCAATAAAATATATTTAAAAAAAAAAAAAAAAAAACAACAACAACACAACATTTGAGAGGAAGGGGATTAGAGAGAAACATCGATTGGCTGCCTCCTGACTGAGGACCCAACCCACTTGGCTTCTAAAGCAAGAACAGTTCTCGCTGTGACTGTCGAGAACCTGACTCTGTTTTCCAGATCCGGCGCGGCCAGCTGGAGCAGGAGATTCAGTCTGCAACAGAGGAAACGGAGCTCTTCTATAACAGGGGGGTGTAGGGCGCATTCGCTGGATTCCGCTCTGGAAACCTTCCTCTCGAGGTTTCCGTTTCCGCCGCTGTGCCGTGTCTGCGCAGGCAGGGTGGCTGCCAGCCACATGTGCCGAGACTGCGTGGAGGCTGGTCGTGCCAGGCTTCTGGCCTGGATGGGAGAGGAGATGTGGGAGCTGTCCTGTCTGACCTGCCTCCCCACAGGGACTGCCGAGGGGCTGGGTGACGGCAGATGCCGTTTTCTGTTTGTCAGCCTGCGAGAGGGCACTGTGAAATTACTAATAAACTGGTCTAAAGTTGAGTGTTTGCGGGGGGGGAAAAAAAGGAGGATCTGTGGAGCCCAGGGCACAGGCACTGAATGGATGGCGCATCTCCAGGCAAACATGAACCCCAGGGGAGCCGTTTTCCCTGCTCAGCCTACTCCCATTTTGGACAACTACTTAAAGCGTTGCCATCCGCCAGCAGCTCCTTCCTCCTCTTCACGGGCCAACCACCCTGCCTCCTGCTCCGCAGGGAAAAGCAAGGCCCTTGGCAGCCATGGAACCTCTGGCCCCCAAACCTGCAGCCCCTCCTCCACCGCAGCCCCCTCCCCCTGCGTGCAGGGCAGCTGGGCATCGGTCCTGGGCTGGTCCCTTGTTTACTCAGCCGCTCTGCTTCTTCCTGGTGATAAACTGCTTGGCTCACCCGTCTCATTAAAAAGCAAAACCCCACCCAGGCCAGGTGGGTCCGTTGGTTGGGGTATCAGTCCTGTACCCCAAAAAGTTGTGGGTTGGGTCCTCAGTCAGGAGGCAGCCAATCGATGTTTCTCTCTTAATCCCCTTCCTCTCAAATCAATAGACATATCCTCAGGTGAAGATTTAAAAAAAAAAAAAAAAAAGCAAAGCCCTCATTCATAGACAAGCTTTTTCAAATACTGTCTGCCTTCCTTGTTCCCACCCCACCTTCTACTCCGCTGAGACTGTCAGCCGTGCCCGCCCACACTGTGCTGCCACTGCTGGCTGCTCCACCAGGCTTTGGGCTTGTTTACTGTGCCCTGGCCATAGGCTCACAGCCAGCTGCCCCTGCAATTCTGGATGCCCACTGGAGGCCTCCCAATCTCAGGAAGTGGAAACACCTCAGTTGCATCTGACAGGATCACTGGCATCACCCTGACTCCCTCCTCCCCCCACTCCCATTCAAGTCATCTCAAGAACTCAGAGTCCCCAGCCACGGCCAGCTCAGTCCAACAGCACCCCCTGCTGGTGGGACGCCTTATTTCTGCCTGGCTCCCTGTCCAGGCTCCAGCTGTCTCTTCTACACCACACCTGCTTAATAGCCTTCAGCGGCTTCTCAGCACTTCGGGATCAAGTTCAAATTCCTTGCCATGCAGGCTGAGAGCGCCTCTGCCTTACTCATCTCACACCGCTTCCTTTCTTCACTCTGGACCAACAGCAGGCTCCTCAGAGGCCGTGTTCTCTCTGCTCTGGGCCTTCACACCTACTTTCCTCTACTCTGCACTAACTCCTACTTATGCTTCAGGCCTGACTTAGACTTTGGTCACTACCTCCAGGAAGCTTTCCAGGATTCCCAGTGCTGAGTCAACTGCCTCTCCTGTGCCCCCAGCATTGTGTCTAACACTTGCCATGGCACAGTGCCATGGCCTGTTTGCAGACCCAGTGCCCCTTTAGACTGTTCCTTGAGAGCAAGAACTGCCTTGTGCATCAGGTAAGCCGTAGGGCCATAACTGGTTTGGCTCAGTGGATAGAGTGTCAGCCTGTGGACTGAAGGGTCCCAGGTTCGATTTCGGTCAAGGGCACGCACCTTGGTTGCAGGCACAGTGCAGGAGGCAGCTGACCAATGTTTCTCTCTCGTTGATGTTTCTAACTATCTCCCTTCCTCTCTGTAGAAAATCAATAAAATATATTAAAAAACAAACAAACAAAAAAAAAAACCCCGAAGCTCTAGGATACAACAGTGCACTGTGCAGAGTAGGTACCCGAACATTTGCATCCTGGAGAAATGTTTCCGACACACCCTGCCCAAATCATCAAAGAATATATCTGGCTTTCAGTTTTCCCTGGACCAGAATGATGTTTATCGCCTAATTTGATAAAAAGTGTTTCACAAGAGCCTAATAGGATAAAATTAATCAAACTGACCTACCAGATGTCTCAGTACAGCCCCAGGCTTACACTCCACAAAAGAACAAAATGCAAAGGCCCCAGGTGAAGGCTCACTCACTACAGAGGAGTGGAAGGCGCGGGCCGCCCTGAAGCTGGGCGCTGGAGGGCAGGCGCTGGAGGGCGAGGGCTGGACGTGCGGGTTGGAGGAAAGGAGCCTGGCCCCCTCCTCACTTTCAGAGGCGTCTTTTAATACCCCCCGCACACCTGCACTTGGAAGGTGCTGCTTTTTTCAGAGAAGAGAAATTCGAGAAAGGGCACCATTTCTCATCTACCTAAACATGGTTGAGTATCAAAATATTTCCATTTTATTTCTGCATCATACATTTGCAATTGTAACAATTTCGATCATTAGCTAATGCAGTTATACAAAAATGAGGGAGAAAAAGATGTTAGTATTCATTTTCTTAAAGTGCAGAATTAATTTTAAATTGTCTTAGTAAACAAAACCTCATTTCAGGTCCACCCTTACCCGAGGAGGGAGCGAAAGGGTTATTTTAACCCTTTTACTCAGATGAAAGAGCCAATAAAGACAAGATTTTCTGCAAACATTTCTTCTGGGTAAGATTTCCAAGGACAATAGAACTGACTGTAAAATACCCTCTCAGAGTTCATGTGAATACATACAATAACCTAACAAGGACTTTCCTATGAAGAGAAAGGTACACGCTGAACAGGAGCTTCCTATGTAATTAAGTCACTTTTTACTGGCGTTGCCTGAACACCTCTGATATGGGCCCGTGCAGGCAGCTAATTCTTACACTCGCTTGCCAATCGTGTCAAGTTGCTAGTTCAGTTATACAGGCATTTATATTCCAAATGGCCGCTTGTCTTACTCTGCTATGCAATAAGAACTGGCGTCTTGCAAAGGAATATTGCTAGCAACAGGGTTAATTGAAGAGCACTGGAGCTTCCGTTTGCCAAATGCTTACCTCTGAGACAGTATAAATACGGGTTATTCAAGTTGTCTACTCAAGTATAAAATCTATGCAAAAGCCTCAGAATATAGGTAAAATGTTCAAAGGCCACGTAAAATTTTTTTTTTTTTTTTTTTTTTTTTTTTTTTTTACAAGAAAGTGCACCTGCAGGGTCTTTTGAATGCTCTCTGGACAGTCCTGCAGAAAACTTAGTAGTTTGGCTCAGAAAGTAGAGTTCCTCATGAGGAATTAAAGTTCTTCCTAGAAGAATACAAAGGAAAATTTCAGGCAGCTTTCTGAAAATAAATCATTAGTTTGTGGCGACACAATGAGACAAACTGGAACTTATCACGAAGGCTTTCGGATCTGCTGTGACTTACACGGGAACTCGACAGGATTTTTTCTCTTACGCCAGCACATCAGGCCGTTTTATAACTCGTGTGTGGTAGTTACAGCACTTGGTCCGACATGGATAACAGGCGCGAAACTGATCAGGTAAGAGAAAATCGTAAGTGTTTTTCCTATGTTTCAGTGCTTTTCAAGTCAAATCTCAATACTTCCAAATAAATCATTAAAATAGACTGTTTTCTTTGTTATTTTCAGTATTTTACATAGTTAGTAGGTAAGCACACCCTCAGCGAGACCACTTGGCAGTCAGATTTCCAGCATCTGCTCGGCGGCTGCCAGGTGGTAAAGGAAGTTTTCCGTTGCTGGCGGGAACCGTCTTTGCTTTAGTGCCTCCAGATTGAGAACACGCCTTCCCTCGTCGCCTGAAGCTTCTGAAAACGGTGCCAAGTTGGTGAAGATTTCTTTTGTTTTTAGGGAAATGTCCTTTAATAAAAACAGAAAAATATGCAGGACGTTAGCACTGAGAAATAGGACTGGTTTGTTGCATTTTAACAGAATCCTTCCTGATATTTTTAAAAGTATATTAAATTAACTTTATAAATTAGAAAAAGTGAAAATTCAATAGAAAATTCAGGAGCTGACTGAGTCGTCGGGTAAGAAGTTACCTGTATGACTTGGCTGTCCGATTTCTCTGGATCTTCTGCAGACTGAACAATCAGATGGCCAATCTCTTTGTGCAGTTTGCCCATTGTCATGGCCTCTGGTGAGATTAAGAATATGTTGTGTGGATATTTAGAAGTTGAAATAATAATAAATAAATAGCCCAGGCTGGTTTGGTTCAACGAATGGAGTGTCTCAGGCTCGATTCTGATCAAAGGCACGTACTTTGGTTGCAGGCTCCTCCCCGGCCTGGGCCTTGGTCCGGACTATTGCAGGAGGCAACCAATCGATGCGTTTCTCTCACATCGATGTTTCTGTCTTTCCCTCTCTCTTCCACTCTCTCTAAAAATCAGTGGAAAAATATCGGCGGGTGAGGATAAAAAAATAATAATCATGTCATCTATCTGAAAATCTGAAAGATCAAACAGAGGAAATTTTCAAAAAGCAACTGACACGGAGCTATTTGAGATCTTGCTCCCAGGTATATGTTGTCAGTTTGGTTCAAATAAAAATCTTATAAAAAAAAAAAAAAAAGCAACTGGCAACCCGCCCCCACAACTTCCTCCTTCTTGCTAAACACATGCTGGGGGTAAAAGGCATGATCATGAATTATATACTTTGTGTCCAAAATAAACCCACACCAACACCAAAACTAATTTCTCCTCAGACCTACCTGGTGAACACTTATTTTCCTCTAGACAGCACCTAACGAAAGTTTAAGCCCAGAGCCTGACCTTCCTGCCCAGGTCTTTACAGTTAGGAAGGCTCGTTTATCTTTCTGGCAGGAATATTGTGAAAGCAGCACTTCCTGACAGCCCGCGGAAGCCCTGAGCATTCGGTGTGGCAGGGCCCTTACAACGGAGCGGGGAAAACCACTCAGCTGCATTACTTATAAGCAGTGCTACTCTCTGCAGCAAGGGCAGTAACAAGTTTGTCTGTCACCCCACGGGGCCAACGTGAACGTGCTGCCTGGGCTGGGCCCACTTTACAGACTCAGAGCAACACAGGGCAGCGAGGAGATGGCCACCCTTTCAGTAATGTGAGTGATAGAAAACAGCTAGTTTTCTATCACTTTTGCTTTACAAAAGGTGGTATTGCCTGAAGATGGTTTTATGTTTAAAAATTGTCACCATGAGCATGCATTGTTTGCAATTTTAAAACAAATGAGAGAAAAGTAGTTCTGGTTCTATCTAACAAAGTCCTTCATCAGCCAACACTCAGCAATTCCTACTTTCAAGAGAAAGAGACATAAATGACAACAGAAAAGCTGTTCCCCAGGAATTCCCATCTATAACCAACACCTCACAAGTGCCTGGGCCCAACACAGTTAACTCAACATTTACCATTTTACGTAGCTATCATTTGGGACAATTTCCCTTCGAAATGACACTAGAACACCTTTTCTTGATCGTAGCTCCAAGAATACTTTCATGTCCTTGGCTTACTGAGACATCATTCAGATTTCCACAGAGGATCACACTCAACCCTTGTACAGTGACAAGTGTCTCCACTTCCTTCAGGAGGTGCCTGTTTCCTCTCCCTTAACTGGGACCAACTTATTGGCTTGCTTCTGCCAAATAGACTATGGAGGAAGTGATGTGTGACTTCTGAGATGAGGTCATAAGGGCACCGTGGTCTCCGCTCTGTCTCTGGGGGAAGCCAGCTGTCCGGTCATGAGAACTCCCAAGCTGCCTGTGGAGAGGCCCAGGTGGATGGCTCCTGCCAACAGCCAGTGAGTTAGCGGGAAGTGCAGCCTCTGCCCCAGCTGAACCTTCAGATGACTTCAGCCCTGGCACTATGCTGATCAAAAACTCACGAGAGCCCTTGAGCCAAAGCTTCCCAGTTAAATCAGTCCTGAATTCCCGTCCCACCAAAACCGTGAGATAAATATTTGTTGTTTTGAATCCCTTCACTAAGTTCAGAAGGGATTTTTTATACAGCAATATACAATATGCCTTGTTTAAATATGAAGTGGAGAAACAGATTAAGACTATCTTATTAACACACACTATGCAGCATATCAAGGATTATTACTAACACTTGAGGCCCAATGCACGGATTTGTGCACCAGTGGGGTCCCTCGACCTGGCCTGTGCCCTCTGGCAATCTGGGACCCCTCAGGGGATGTCAGACTGCCAGTTTCAGCCTGATCCCTGCTGGCCAGGGTGAGGGACCCCACTGATACACAAAGCCATGCGCTGGGCCTCTAGTATGTATATAGTGCACATCATAGCTATCAGTTGAATGGTTGCTTAGGCTTTTATATATATCGATAGATGGCTATTCCTATAAGAATAAATGCTGTGTTCTAGACACACAAAAATCCCTCCAGCAGTTAAGCAAACCCTCAAATACTGGTTTTAGAGGATCAGTCTAAAAAAATACAACCGCTTGGTTTACATCTTGTATCAACAACAGAACAGAACAGAACAGAAAACTAACCTTTCGCATGTGGGGCAATGGTAATCTCACTGTCTGCCAGATTCACAAACACGTCATACAGGTCTGATCTATTGCTCACCTCCGAGTCTACAAATCCGGCAATGTAACCTGTGTGAAAGATGGAGTATGAAGAAATCACATTGTGAACACATCAAGAGAAATTTAGTCTAAAAAGCTAACCAGCTGCTTCTTCTCACTGCTTTACTTATTCAGGGCACATTAGCTGTGCCTGTGGCATTTATTAAGACTACGTATTGTCATTGCCTGAAGAATCTCACATAACTCAAATGTTCCAAAGCCAGACTTCGAGTCAACGAAGGAGAATGAATGAAAGCATTTACTTTTCAATCGTTGCTTTTGGGGCAAAGATGACAGATGAGGCAGAAAATAGCAAGGGTGCTTTTGATCAGCATTCCCCCTGTAGGTCCTTGTCTTCAAGATGTCACAGCCAAGCACCCAGGTTTCTTGGTGACAGTGGGTGGAAACAGTATCATCATCATCTTTCACCAATATCAGAACTGATGCAGTAAGTGCGATGGGAATCAGGGCAACGCCAGAATTAGCAGACTTTTGGAATTGGTGTGAACAATCCCCAGACTTCTCACATTTCTTTCAAAATAGGGTTTTGTTGGTTTTTGAGAGAGAGGCAGGGAGAGGACAAGAGAGAGGAACATTGATGAGAGAGCAACATCAATTGGCTGCCTCCTGCATGCCCCCTACTGGGTATCAAGCCATCAACCGGAGCACGTCCCTGAGTGGGAATGGAACCAGTGTCCTCCTAGTACCTGAGACAATGCTCAACCAACTGAGCCACACCAGCTGGGCATACAAGTATAATAACATCATTTAAAAATAATTTTATTTTCTTTAAGGAAAATATATGACAAGGCATGGCTCATATTATACTCTGGCTCATATTATACAAATCACTGATAAGGAAATTTTAAGACTTGACAAATTAAAAATAAGTTGTATTTTGATGACGGCTGCATAACAACGTGAAGGTATTAATGCCACTGCGCTACACACTTAAAACTGGTTGAGCTGAGCCCTGGTTGGTGAGGCTCTGTTCGCTGAGCATCATCCCGTACACCGAAATGTTTCAGGATTGATCCTGGGATCCCCGGTCCAGGTGTGTGTGGAAGGCAGCAGGTCAATGTCCTCTCCCATTTTCTCTCTCAAATCCCCCTGCTCATTCCCTCTCTGGAATCAATAAATATATCCTCAGGTAAGAATTTTTAAAAAGAAAAAAAAAAATTAAGATGAGAAATTTTGTGTTACATGTATTCAATTTTTTCCTAAATTAAAGGGGTGGGGGAAGATTGGTTCCATTTGCCAAAGAAATAGTAACTGATTAGTACTGTCCTCAGAAACACAAACACACACACACACAAAAATACCTAAAAAAAAACCAACACACAAAGAACCAAGAAATCCTAGTTAGAGCCACACCCCCGCTCCGGGACCTGTGCCCGCCTACCTGGGCACAGCTGCAGGGCTTCCAGCTCATCGGCGTCCAGGTGCATGTACGAGTGGAGAATGGTCCAGTCCTGTCGATGCCACACCAGGGCAGGCAGGGTTCTGGGGAATCAAAGTGAGAACGCAAATGGCTGCTGGCCTGCACCTGGAGACTCGGCTTCCCTCTTCTTGGGGGAGGAACTGGATATGAGAGGCAGAGGGAGAACCAGCCCTAAATGGGCCAGCGGCTCCAGGCTTTAAACAACAATGTCTTACACTCTGCTGTGGGTGTCAGATTAGCTACAAAAAGCTCAAGATGGAGTTTCAAAAAAAACCTGGTAAAGAGAAATGCTTCAAAGGTTTTCCTCCAAACACTCTACACTATAGACTGCCACGGAGAGGGAGTCTCAGATCTGAAGGTACAATCTAAAGAGGGCTCTGTCAGAAAAAAAATAAAATTAAATTAAAAAAAAAAAAAATATATATATATATATATATATATATATATATATTATTTTTATTCAATACTAGAGGCACAGTGTATGGATTTGTGCATCGGTGAGGTCCCTCAGCCTGGCCTACAGGGATCGGGCTGAAACTGGCTTTCCAACATCCCCTGAGGGATCCCGAACTGTGAGAGGGGGCAGGCGAGGCCGAGGGACTCCACCAGTATAACAATCATGCACCGGGCCGCTGCCATCCCCCAATGGATCTGGGGTGTGGGGGAAGCAGATTCAGGGACAACTGTGCCCCAGCAGCAACCTAACCCACAGCCAATGAGGAATCAGGCTCCCTCGTCCCTGGGTCTGGGGTGCAGGTAAAGCAGATTCGGGGCCAACTTTGCTCCAGTAGCAACCTACCCCACGGCCAATTCGCAAGGAGGAAATTAGCTAATGAAGAGGAAATAGGATCTATCTTCCTTTCAATGTGCACTAATCTGTGCACCAGGCCACTAGTTTATTATAAAAATGTGGTAAAACCAAAGAATGCGGTAAAACCGAACAGAATGAACAACTTACTGAACAGGAGTTAGGAAATTATGACCCACAGGTAGTTCCTGTCATTACACATAAAGTTTTATTGAAACACCATGCTCATTCACTTACCTAGGTACTGTCTACAGCTGCTTTTATGCCACCCATGACAGTTAAGTAGTTGGGGCAGAGACCATAAGGCCTACAAGCCTAAAATATTTCCCCTCTGGCAAAGAGAAATTTGTAAACTCCCTGCTCTAAAATATTCATATTTCTAAAAAAGAATCTGTCCCAATTCAGTGACCTTGAATTGCTAAATAAATCCAAACTGGATCATAAGACCAAAATGGTACTTCCGCCCAGGCCAACATATTCTATTCTTACCAAACGTGCAACACAACAGAACGTACACTAACACACAGTGTCCTAAATAGCCACCAACAACATCTACACTGTCCAATGATTAGAGAGAATACCTGGTAAACTCCTGGACAGCTTCTATTTTGGGGTGATAGACGACAATTCTTTTCTTCAGCATCAGTGCTGTGTGTAAGATAACGGTTTCCATTCCAAACTGAGATACAATGTCTTAAAGCAAGAGAAAATATAGTTTTACTACATTAACTATTATAAAAGAAAATAAGGTTTTTATTGGAAAGAACTCTTATCCTATGAATTCAAAATTATTTTCAACACAGAGAATAAATTTCGGTAAATGTGGTAAGCACAGAATTGTCTTATCTGGTGGATGGGCATTTCAATCCATACATGTGCTCCCCAGGCTGGGTGTCACAGCTGCCTGCACCTGTCCCCCAAGGGACTCTATGCTGCACATACATACAGCCAGACTCACAAGAAGGTGGAGTAATGGTATAAAGGGAACCGGCACTGTCAGAAAAACTCTTTTTTTTTTTTTTTTAATCCTCACCCAAGGACATTTCATTCCATTGCTTTACAGAGAGAGTGGGAGGGAGGGAGAGGGAAAGAGAGAGAAACAGCGATGTGAGAAAGGCACATCAATTGGTTGCATCCCACACATCTTCCCTGACTGGGAAGCAAACCCACAACCCAGATATGTGCCCTTGGCCGGCAACTGAACCCTCAACCCTTGGGTTCCAGTGCTGACGCTCTAACCACTGAGCACACACCAGTCAGGGCAAACTCAAGCTTTAAAAAATATCCACTGACAGCCCCTCCCTCTCAACCACCCACATCATTACTTAAGTCCTTTTGAGACAGCTGGGTGACACCTGGCACCTCTCCAGGGATGCTCAGAACCAGACAGAACAGTGGCATTAGTGAAGACAGGCAGGTGCTGAGGGAGGACTAGAGGAAAGGCTAGCATTGCCCCAGGAACTCTCCTCTCCTCCCTTTCTTAAGGGCCCGGAAGTCTGTGGCTTTATTCCTCGACTGTCCCTGCCATTTTGGATTTCCAGGGAGAAGGAAAAGGCAGGAGCCTGGGTCCGGCCTGAGCGTCCAGATGGAAGAAGTCAGTGCTCTGAAGAAAGAGCACTATGGGAGCCAGTGGAGCCCTGGATGCAGCTCACTGGTGACAGACATTTCTATTTTAAAGGTCAGAATCAGTGCGCGCTTCGGCAGCACACATTCTAAAATGGGAACGACAGATTAGCATGGCCCTGCGCAAGGATGACATGCAAATTCATGAAGCGTTCCATATTTAAAAACCAAGTCAGAACCCTGCCCTGGCCAGTGTGGCTAAAGGCTGAGTGCTGTCCCATGTACGGAAGGGTCACAGGCTTGATCCCAAGGTGGGGGAATGCAGGAGGCAGCCGACAGATTTCTTTTGTTGTTTTTTTAAAAATATATTTTATTGATTTTTATTGATTTTTCCTGTTTCTAGAGAGCCAGAAACATTGATGAGAGAGAAACATCGACCAGCTGCCTCCTGCACACCCCCTACCGGGGATGTGCATGCCCTTGACCGGAATCGAACCTGGGACCTTTCAGTCAGCAGACCGACGCTCTATCCACTGAGCCAAACCGGCCCCAGCCCGATTGATGTTTTGCTCTCACCTAGATGTTTCTCTCTCTCTCTAAAAATAAATAAATATATAAATACACACACACAAACAAAATTCAAGAAAAACAGTAAAAGTCAGAATCTTTCGGAAAGGAACCCCACGAAAGTCTGCTTTCCTGTGACAGAATTCCAATCCAATAAGGCAACGGAGAGGCTGAAGTACTGTCTGCAGAGGAAATAATGCTGGGTAGGCAATCTATGTGGAAAGGTGGAAAAGCAGTCTCCTGGGAGACTGTCCTGGGCTTGGGATTCTGCTGTCGGTGAAGTAATCCGGGGCGGGGTTTGATTTCTTACCTTTGATGGAGCCCGCAAGGTATGCCTTTCGGGCGTCAAAGTCCTTGCTGAGGAAGGAGCCGTTCTCTTCGCTCTGGCAGATCCCCTTAGTGAGGACCGCGATGTAACTCTCCATCATCTTCACCGGGCTCCCGTGCTTCAGGTACAGTCTGGGAGGAAGGAGACAGCCCTCATGCTTTTGTTTCCCACGAGCCACGGGGAGAAATCACCAAGACTAGGTGTGACCCTTTCTGAAGCCGACTTGCTTATACACCCTGAATGCCGACTCTTTTCTATCAAGTGATAGTTCTAAAATTTAATTTGAAAAGGTGTTTATAAAAAAGCATCACCCGCAAGACCTCTGCAGCTGCTCCCCTGCTTATGTCTGGGGAAACCAGCCACAGCCCGCTGGGGCAGGAGAGTAAACCAGGCCCTCCCGGGCCTCATTCTGCTCAGGAACATCGTACACTTATCTCCTGGCTTACACTCATTCCCAGCTGGTGTGCCTAGTCATAATGACTCTGCTTTATTGCTTGGATTCCTCTGACGAGAAAGGAGGTTTATGCAGTGTTCCCAGAGAAAGCAGTAATTAGTTGTAAAACCCGTATTTAATAGCAGAGTCCCAGAGATAACTATATTTAGATCATTAAGAAATCAAACTCCTTTTTGAGTTTTCGGTGATAAATGCACACTGGATACATTCATCAAGCTAAATCTTCCAGAAAAATGCTGACAGGAAGCTGGCTCCGTTTATAGCTCGCTGTGAAATCAATCCCTCCCCGGAAATGTCTGCCTGTGAGTAACCGAGTCTAAATTCTGCTTGGAAAGCAGGGCTGGGTCTGCTTGGGCCTTTTAGCAGCTGGCGCAGAAAATCGGGAAGAAAATAAAATCAACGTTTAAGTGAGATCGCTTGAAAATGATACTTAGTATAGATTGATTTTAATTAAGATCATGAAAAGGAGTTTTAACTGTTTATCAGATTTTGTCAGTCATCAGTGTTTTTCTATTTTTTTCAATGTATAAAATGATAAAATAAAAGGTACAGAACAATGACTATGGCAAGCTATCATATATAACACATAGTCACGCCATGAACTCATCCACATGCTCATCTCCAGTTGGATATACACAAAGCAGGCCAAGAGCGGCCTCGGGGGTGGGGGTCGGGAGGAGAGCTGGAAGCTGGGAACGGGGAAGGGACTGTTTTCACTGTAGACCCTCCAGCACTGTTGTGTGTTTTTTAACTCTGTGCTTACAGGACCACCCAAAATACACCAAACCCAAAACCACACCATCACATTATAAAATAGAAACGACAGCAAGGAAAAGAGAACCTAAGAAAGGTAGGATAAGATGACTTCCCTCATGACAAGCCTGGGCCATGAGAGACTGAACAGAGGGAGGAATCCCCCAAAACCATTTCACAGGAAAAACTCAAAGCACAACCCAGGGGACCATATTCCGATGGAGAGCCACAAGCTGTCACACGTGGCTCAGACCACGGACTGTGAGTATGCCAGGTTTTCCATCAGAGCCATTAGCAGGAGGGGCCAGAAGAGGAAGAGGTTCCTGCCAACTGACCTGGATCCCATAGAGGGAATGAGCTCCGAACCCCCATGTGCCCTCCGTGCCACCTCAGCAGCATGCTGTGGAAGGACCAAGGTAACCTCACCATTATAACATGTCTCTTCACTATGGCATACTAGCACATCTGAAACTAGCAGTCTGCATGTCAACAGTTACTAAAAAATTAAAAAATGTATTTAAAAGTGTTTGTTTATGTGCATGTGCATGCAAATACATGCATTCATGGCTTTATGGAGAGTGTGTGTGTGCATGCACGCACTTGAGTACACTGGTGTGTACACATGTAAGGGAAAGTAGGAGGATTCATTAAGAGGCAGGAGCAGAGGAGAGGCTGGCAATAGCTCTGAGTCCTCAATGCCCTTCCACAGCAGCAGAAGAGAATCCAGAATGCGACAAGGCCATGGCACCACCGAAGCTGAGAAACGCGCTGGGCTTCCTGGAACTCGGTGAAGTGACCTAATCCGGCCTCCATCAACTGAAATGGGAATCCAATGTTTGTTCAAAAACACCTTTCCAATGGCTTTAGTTCACAGCTGCTGGACAGCGTCTCTCCTAACAACAATAATCTCTTTTTGTGCCATATTAGCAGACAACTGTTGATATGAGCCATGCACCTGGAATTTATCTTAGGACAAAAAGTCTTTCTTAGCATAACTGGCTGCAAAACAGGAAAACTTCATTTTGCCAAAATACAACCTAACTGAAACCCTTAGGTTATGAGAAGGTATTCTAACGCTACGCCGTGTGCATGCACATAAAAATGGCAAAAAAGAAACCATTTATCAGGCTTATAGTGGGAAAAACAAAACTCGCCTCATGCACACCAAACCCAAACTCCTCCTCCCTGGGTGTGAGCCTGAGGGCTGAGTAACACAGAACACCGAGGCTTCAAAGTCTAACTGGTGACAACAATATTTTAATATATATATATTTTATTGATTTTGTACAGAGAGGAAGGGAGAGAGATAGAGAGTTAGAAACATCGAGGAGAGAGTCATCGATCAGCTGCCTCTTGCACACCCCCTATTGGGGATATGCCCGCAATCAAGGTACATGCCCTTGACCGGGATCGAACCCGGGTCCCTTCAGTCCCCAAGCCGACGCTCTATCCATTGAGCCAAACCGGTCTCGGCATGACAACAATATTTTTAAAAAACTAAACTAAAACCCTGTGCAAGTTTTCATTATAGAAAAAAGCCAATATCGCCTGGCTGGTTTTGCTCAGTGGATAGAGCTTCGGCCTGCGGACTGAAGGGTCCCAGGTTTGATTCTGGTCAAGGGCACAGGCCAGGGTTGCTAGCTCGGTCCCTAGTGTGGAGGCATGCAGGAAGCAGCCAATCAATGATTCTCTCTCATCATTGATGTTTCTCTCTCTCTCCCTCTCCCTTCCTCTCTGAAATCAATAAAAATCAAACATATATATTAAAAATAAACATATATATTAAAAGCCAATACTCCTCACACACAAGAAAGATTTAATCAAGTCTGGTAGATATGCTTACCAAGGCAAGAAAGTAAATTGGTGCATTTTAGATTCAAACTAAAGAAGTCTACCTGAATCACAATTAATCAATCAGTGAGTTTTTAGCTCATTATTCCAGCAAAGAGATGTTTTCCGATGCTTTAGCATAATTCAAAATGCTCGTTAACTTTCCCCAAAAGGACTCCCACACACAGACCTTGCCTAGATCTACCACTTCATAGAGCACTTAGCTTATTGTTCTGTTTAGGGAAATTCTGGATTGGAAAGGAGTAGAAAGAAGTAACAGACCAAACATGGCAAGTGAGTCCAAACACCCAGAAACCACAACAGTTGTGCAAACAGCTTCTCCTCCCCTCTAATTCTCCCAAATAAGAGGAGCATATCCCCGAAGCCAGTTCCTCTTTCTAAAACAGTCTGTGAAGGGCCAGGAAAGAGTAAGTTGGGGAGACAAAGGAGAAGTCGACTTTCTCATGTAAAAATCTGCTCTGACACTAAGATCTTCATTTTTGTATATTAGTATGTAACACGGTTTTCATACAGACCTACACAATATCCTAGTGAAGGCGGCATATTTCTCTGGGTTAAAATCTTTGGCGGTCAGAACAATAGAAAAATGAGTCACCTGTCCAAAAGAAACAAAAAAAAGTACACTTTTTAAAGACACTTGAATAGAATTCATTTTATCACTATATTTTAACAACCGCTTGTACAAGATATACCCGCACAAAAAGGAAAAGACCAAAATGTAACCAAGTTCTCACTCGCTTCTTTTACTCTTCTATGTATATGCACACATAAAACATTACATAGACATATATGTTGCATTTCCTACACAATAATGTAATACTTTGCCAGTGTTTTTTGAAAACAAAAATATTTCAAATGTTAAAGATGTGCATTTTTATTTTATTTTATTTATTTAATTGTGTGTGCATTTTTATTTTAAACCCCTTACCATCATCAAAACAGAACTAGAAATGCTTTAGCAGACCTACCAATTTAGCAAACTATTTTTCATTAATGAAATAGAAGGATGGGAAACAACAAAAATATATCTCAGTAAAATGCTTATAATAAAAAGTATACCATTCTAGAAATAGTTAATTCTCTGTAAATTGCTATATAATCTAAAGGGCACTGTTATAATATCTTTCATCTATTTATATGCCTCATTTATTATAAATATAAATTTGATAATCATTATACCCATTATTCTCATTAATGAGAAAATATTTAGAACTTTACAAAAGCAAAGCATTTAAAAATCATATTTTGAAGGGTAAAATTTCAAAATCTTGCTATATTTCAAATCTAGGAAAATAGATTTGAAATTGCTGTTGATATAATTTGACAGTCTGCAGGGTAAAACTTAATAAATCTACCTGAGAATACATCAAGACTTCACAGCAAGAACTTAATAAACATAAACCAAAGATTTTATAACATTTGGAAAACCACCTTTTAGCAAATCTACATTTTCTAATTATGAATTTCTACTTTGTCTTAAACCTCTACCAGTTTTGAAATTATTGCCTTAAAATTGTTATTTTAAATGTAATTCCTTATATTTAAACTGATATCTTGGACATGCTTCATACAGTCTGGTTATTGGCTGTAAAATTATCCCTGAAAAGATAGTCTCCCCTCAGGAGCATGCCAGGAGCTCAGCCACTTCTCCCCAATATTATTTTCTTTGAAAAAACCTGCTGGTTGTTTGGACACCCACAAGGACCACATAGTGGTTTTCAATATGTCACACTGATCCTGTCCATGTCAAATGACATAACAAAAAACTGGCTGAATACTTGAGTTTCCTTAATTACCCTTTCTATTTTTAATATAGCCTTAACCAGCCACAAGGGAATAAAAAAACATTTTCTTAACTATGCCAAGGATAATTATATCCTCTAAAATAGGTTTTAATGATGGAAAAATACTTCTATTCAGGTATTACTTTGAAAGTACTTGTACATTTTTCTCTTCCGTCAGAATATAACCCGAAGAGGCTTCACCACACCAACCACAGGGCCAGTCACATAATACACACCAACAAATATTTATAGCATGAATGAGAGTGAAACATGAAAGAAAACATTCATGAAACTCATATGTAGCCCTAGCCGGTTTGGCTCAGTGGATAGAGCGTCAGCCTGCAGATTGAAAAGCCCCAGGTTCGATTCCGGCCAAGGGCACATGTCCCGGATATGAGCTAGATTCCCCTATGGAGGTGTGCAGGAGGCAGCCAATCAATGATTCCCTCTCATCACTGATGTTTCTCTCTCTCTCTCCCTCTCTCTTCTTCTCTGATATCAATAAAAACATTACAAAAAAAAGAAAATCATATTTAATGTTTTGTACAAGCACACTGTAAATAATAAAATATAAGCTAAAAAGAGTTACTAAAATAATCTTACACCACTTTAAATATATATATATTTTTTTACCTTTATGCAGTCATACCTTTTTCAAAACTGAAGAATCTGGAACTTCAACTGTTGTGATATAAAACCATGTTCTTCTGTACTGACCAAAGACGAAGGGATGGAGGAGTCTATTTTCATCTGTGAGGCAGCATTTTCTCAGCAGCAGATTCCTTAAAGTAGCTGTCGTGGAAGGATAACACCAAACCCACAGAACTTCTCCATTTGTGTCCTTTTCTACGGTGGAAAGATGGTCACTGTGAGAATGTCAAACAGCAGCAAGGAAGTGAATTGATTGGTTACTCAGAAGCACTTAGTGGAATCACTTTTAACATCCTATTTTACAAAGCAACCCGGAACTGGTGAGACCCCTAATTCCCACCTGCCTCTACTGCTCAGATTGCCTAGCTCTCCTGACCTTGGAATTGTAGGCTACTGGAGTAAATCATGTTACCTACTGATGGAGCAAATTCTATATTTAAAACTTTAATTTCGCCGGGACCGGTTTGGCTCAATGGATAGAGCGTCGGCTTGGGGACTGAAGGGTCCCGGGTTCGATTCCGGTCAAGGGCATGTACCTTGGTTGCGGGCATATCCCCAGTAGGGGGTGTGCAAGAGGCAACTGATCGATGACTCTCATCGATGTTTCTAACTCTCTATCTCTCTCCCTTCCTCTCTGTACAAAATCAATAAAATATATAAAAAAAACAACAAAAAAAAAAAACTTTAATTTCATCCTCAAAGAAAACAGCTCAATAACAAGAGGAGCAATCTACTAACAATAAAAACTCCAAGCAAAAACAGTCTAAATTTTAGAGAAATTTACTGCACATATAGCACCAAGAATCTACATTTTGATCCACAGCAGTGGTTCTCAACCTTCCTAATGCCGCGACCCTTTAATACAGTTCTCCATGTTGTGGTGACCCCCAACCATAAAATTATTTTCGTTGCTACTTCATAACTTTAATTTTGCAACTGTTAATGAATCATAATGTAAATATCTGTGTTTTCCGATGGTCTTAGGCGACCCTGCTAGCAATTCTCAACCTGTGGGTTGCTGCTGTGAGCCTAAGACCACCGGAAAACAGATATTTACATTTCAATTCACAACAGTAGCAAAATCACAGTTATGAAGTAGCAACAAAAATAATTTTATGGTTGGGGGTCACCACAACATGAGGAGCTGTATTAAAGGGTCGCAGCATTAGGAAGGTTGAGAACCACTGCTCTACAGACTTAAAAAAATACTTATTATGGAAAATATCAAGTATATAAAAAAGCAGAGAGAATAACAAAATTCCCCCGTCTTCATCACTCATCTCTCAGCTTCAACAATTACCAACATCTGGCCCTCCTTGCTTCCTAAGTGGGGGGAGTGTTTCCCCTTCCATTATTTTGAAGCAAAAAATAACGAAGCCTGCTGAATTGAAAATGATTAAGTCATCTTTATCTTCGCTGTTACCCAATAAAATCAGAGTTTAATTCAGCCTTACTTCAGGCAGGACTGAGATGCCGAAGTCTCTTAGGTTTGCTCTGAAACAGTTTTAAAATCACACTTAAAGAAATGTTCACATGGTATAAGATTTATCGGGACGATCGCTTAGTCAGTTACATAATGTCTCTGAGGTGTCCCCTTAAAACGAATACTGTATGTCAACTGTAATTAAAAAATCAAAAAATGATTTAATTTTTTTAAAGGTGTGACTACAAGAAGCCATTTCCAGAGAAATGCACTTCTTGGAGGCACTGAAAAGTAACCAGCACATTTTTCTTTAATGATCCTTGTATGCACCAGGGAACAGGTGTGTAGGGGTTTGCAGAAATCTCTCTTCAAAGGACATGGCACCTAGGCAGCCGACAGACGTTCCTTCCAGCCACCCCGTGCTCGCCGCCGCCTATCAAATGAATGGTTCCTGGAAAGCCCAACCCCGAAACGCCGCACGCCGCCCCGCACACGGCCGGGGCCGCCCCCAAATCCCCACGTACTTCCTTCCTCTCCATTGATTCCTCAAAACCGGCGGGGCCCACCCAGGGGATTCAGTCGACACCGGCGCTCAGGGCACAAGCTGTATCTGCTACGATGAAGCTGGGGCTCTGGGACCATCCTGCAAGTGTCCCAATCCTGGTCCCGCCCCTTTCTAGGGTGCACCGGTGGACACCCCGAAAAGAGGGCCTCAAGCAGGACCCGCAGCCCCGGGAGACAATCCAGGCCTGAAACGCTGCCCCCGGGGCTGCTGGTTGGCCACCGCGTCTCCAGTCGCTGGATCACATGACCCAGGCCAGCCGGGCGCAGGCGGGCAGGCCGGCCAGGCGTCCCCACCTCCGAGGGACCCCGGCCCAGCCGCCCCCGCGCCCCATTCCCCTCCTGAAGGCGGCTGCCGGCCCAGCCGGGTCCCGCCTGCACAGCGGCCCCTCGCAGCGAGGGAGCCCGGTCCCCTTTCCCGTCCGGGCTCGTTTGCGGCCCGGAATGTCCAAGGCTCCCCTCCCTGGACCTAGGGGAGGCCCGAAGGGCCGCTCCGCCCCGCCGCCCGAACCGGGAGGGCACCGAGGGCGGAAGGGCCCGTGGCCGCGGGTCCAACCCAGCGCCCAAGAGGCCTGGCCGCGCCGCCCCCCTGTCCAGGCCCAACCGGAAGGGGGTCGCGCCCTCCCCACCGCAGGGGGCGGGAGGAGGGGCCGCCCCAGGCCCAGGCAGAGGCGGAACTGGGGTGCGGGCGGGCCTGGAGGCAGGGCGCCTGCGTGCTCACCGATCAGCCCGACTCCGAGCATCAGCTGAGTGTCCGCCGCCCCATCCGCAGCCATCTTCCGCCGCCGCCGCCGCAGCGCGCCGCTCCCGACTCCCCGCCCGCAGGCCCCGCCCCTCCTCAGGGCCCGCCCACCCATTGGCCCCACCCGCAGGCTGAGGCCCCGCCCCTCCTCCAGGGCCGGCCTACCCATTGGCCCCACCCGCAGGCCGAGGCCCCGCCCCTCCTCCAGGCCCCGCCCCACGTGTCCGGACTTCCTCCCGGCCCCTCCATTCACCTTCAGCCCTCGGTTCTCCACGCTCGGAAGCCGCCCTCAGGCTCCGCAGCTTCTAACCCAGATGTTCACCCGCCTTCCCTTCAACCCACATCCCTCGGGCTTTCGTCATCCTACCTCTGCACTCCGCTAAGAAGAGGAGTCCCGCCCTGGCTGGTTGGCTCAGTGGATAGAGTGTGGCCTGCGGACTGAAGGGCTCCAGGTTCAATTCTGGTCAAGGGCACATGCCTGGGTTGCTAGTTCAATCCCCAGCAGGACGCGGCCTAATAATGCTTCTCTCTTATTGATGTTTCTTTTTTTAAAAATATATATTTTATTGATTTTTTACGGAGAGGAAGGGAGAGAGAGAGAAAGATCGATGAGAGAGAAACATCAATCAGCTGCTTCCTGCACACCTCCCACTGGGGATGTGCCCGCAACCAAGGTACATGCCCCCACCACCACCACCAGAATCGAACCTGGGATCCTTCGGTCCACAAGCAGACGCTCTATCCACTGAGCCAAACCGGTTTTGGCTTATCATTGATGTTTCTAACTCTCTCTTTCTCTCTCTCTCTCTCTCTCTCTCTCTCCCTCTCCCTTCCTCTCTGCAACCAATAATTTGTTTTTAAAGAGGAGTCCTGAGGATGGACGAAGTGTCTCCATTCATTCATTCATCCAAAACAAAAAAGATCCTATTGTGGATTTGCTTTAACAATCTCAACAACCCATCAGCCTGCATCAACCTGCATCTCAAATACCTGCTTTTGTTGAAACACTTACACATGCACACAAATATGCATGTGCAAGGATGTTCATGCAGAGCTGCCAGTAATAGTGAAAGTGAAAAATCACCCAAATCTCTATTAATAAAGAAAACTGAAAAAATTGATGGCATATTCCATATTATAGTCATTGAATGAATGAGGCAGACATATTTGTACTAACTCACTATGATCCCATAAGTATGTAAAACTCCAAACCAATATGTATTTAATTTTTTATTTTTAAAAAATCTTTTTGTTTAAAAAAAAAAAAAAAAAAAGAACTACCAGGCTAGATGCCTATGTATTAAAAAAATAAAAAAAATCTTTATTGTTGAAAGTATTACATATGTTCCCTTTTCTAGCCCATGCCCATTCCTGCCCCATGCTTTTACCACCCATTGTCTGAGTCCATGGGTTATGCATATATGCATGCAAGTTCTTTGGTTGATCTCTTCCCACCCACCCGCCCTCCCACGCCTTCCCTCTGATATGTGTGTGTGTGTGTGTGTGCGTGTGTGTGTGTGTATGATTGGAGATATGCACGCCCAGCTGCTGACAATGGTTAACTCAGAGGAAGGATGTGGGGGAACAATGTGAAGGAAGGTTAGGGGCTTGCACCTGTGTCAAGGTGAAGATATAGTAACCACCGTGTCATAAAGGTGTCTTAAGACCAAAAAACAAAGCAGGCGAATTCATTGACTATAACAGAACTTACTGTAAGGTAATTTACGTACAGGGAAGATTGAGTCGGGATGAGAAAGACAATGACTCAGTAGTCTACCCAGATTATTCTCCCCTATTCTACAGTTGTTACAGCAAAGGTTTTCTAGTGCAGCTGAACTGCTAATGATTGGCAAGGCAAAGGAACAAAGAATGCAGCTTGAGCCAGGAACCATACCTCCAGGTGGTCTTATGATGGATAATTGCTTACCATCGATGCCAGTACCTAGTTTGATATTTATCTCGGTTGCTATGTCATTCTGGCCGTTTACTGACAGGAATCTCGGTTACAGGATACAGCTAATCGTTAACTAGGAGGCCTTGGTGTTGACTGAGACTCAGCATGGAAACTAGGGGGAAATTAGAGGGCACAGGGAGATGGGGTCAGCTTTGTTTACATCAACATCTATATAGTACCCTGAACTATATAAGTAAAATGCCTATATATTTAGAAGTGTATAATATAAATGTCTATATTTATACATACTTTTAAGTGTCTATATTTAGTACATTATGCATAATAAATGTACTATATGGAAGGTCCATAACTGTAAAAAATGTCATTGAAAATGCTGAAGATAGCCGAAACCGGTTTGGCTCAGCGGTAGAGTGTCGGCCTGCGGACTGAAAGGTCCCAGGTTCGATTCCGGTCAAGGGCATGTACGTTGGTTGCGGGCACATCCCCGGTAGGGGGTGTGTAAGAGGCAGCTGGTCGATGTTTCTCTCTCATCGACGTTTCTAGCTCTCTATCTCTCTCCCTTCCTCTCTGTAAAAAATCAATAAAATATATATTTAAAAAAATAAAAAATAAAAAAAAGAAAATGCTGAAGATAATAACATTCTAACAGATGCTAATGAAAAAGTTTTCTCCAAGTAGGTAAGACTTCAGCAGCTTTTTCTCCACCTTTTATTGTTATTTCATAATTTTATTTTCTGGGACAGAGGCGTTAAAAAGTATATTCTCAGGCCCTCCATTCTGTTCCCATCAGGAACCAAGGCTGAGAAGGAAGATGAGGTGGGAACAGGATGAAAGTGTGTTAGTCAGTGATTGGCAAACTCATTAGCCAACAGAGCCAAATAGCAACAGGTCAACGGTTGAAATCTCTTTGGAGAGCCACATTTTTTAAACTTAAACTTATTTTAACGCCACTTCTTCAAAACAGACTTGCCTAGGCCGTGGTATTTTGTGGAAGAGACAGATTTAAGGGGCCAAAGAGCCGCATGTGGCTCGCAAGCCATAGTTTGCCGACCATGGTGTTAAGTGAATGGCCTCTCCCTGCCCCTGGTGGGGCTATTCATGCTGTGTCTTCAGCAGGCCCTGACCCTAAATATTTCCTCAATGAATGTGTTAGGGAGCAGCTCCATGGGGCCAAGGCCTGTAGGTGCCACCTTTGTCTCTGGCACATAGGGGGCACTCAGAAACTAAATGAGGATAAAGACAGCAGTCAATGGATTCTAAAACAACGTTGTTAGAAGATGGTGGGTGCAGGGAGGGAAGGCTAATGGAGGCAGTGGCCAAGCTTGGGTGGAGTGGGACACAGGGTAGAGAGGTTATCCATGGGTAGGAGGGAGGGTCAGTGGAATTGATGCCACCTTTCCTCCCATTTCACCACTAGGTGCTGCCAGACCTGCCAGACAGAGTATAAGGGGAAGGAAAAAGGGGTAGAGAGAAGGAAGGGAGGTATTCCCAACCTTTAGCAATAAGACTATTGAACTGTCACTAACGGAAGGAACTAGGATGTGGAAACAGACAAACCCGAACTCTAGTCCCAGCTCTGCCATCTTAGCTATGAAACCTCACTATGTTGTCTTTCTTCTCTGTGCTTGTTTTCTCAGTGATCAAATGGAACTATTTATCATGTCCTCTGTACTTCTCCCAATGAAGATCTGAATGAAGAAAAAAGCCTTTATGCTGTTTTTATGGATAGAGATAGCTTTGTGTCGGAGGTCCCCAAAATCAGCCTCAGATTCAATGATTTGTTGGGGGACTCGCACCATTCAGCATATGGCTGTCCTCATGGCTATGATTTATGACTGCCAGAGAGTACCAAGTGAAATCAGCAAAGGGAAAAGGCACATGGGGTGGTGTCCAGAGAAAAATAGACCCACACTTCCAGAATCCTCCTCTAGTGGCCTCACACAGGACACACTTAATTCCTCCAGCAACAAGTTGTGACAACACACATGAAAACTGTTGACCAGGGAAGCTCATTAAAGACCTATGCTCATTAGAGACTCAGGATTTTTATTGGAGCATCTTCTGCCTAGCACATATAAAAATTCCAGGCTCTCAGAAGGAAACGTGGTCAGCATGAACCCCATTGTTTGTACAGAAAGTGTAGGCAGAGTCAGTCACGCTTATGAATGCTGGGAATGGAGGGAGCACTCCTGAAATCGAAGTTCACAGACACCAGCCAAGGGCCTACTGACCAGCAGACTTTCCTAAGCTGTGTCCGGTTTGCACAGCCTGCAGGCTCACTACTCGGCAGGAAAAGAGAAAGAAGTGGTTGGCACCCATAGGGGTTTGAAAAACACCCAAATTGTCTGGGCATGTGGACAAGGGATTATAAGGCGGTCACAGATGTTCTAATTCCCAGGTCCCTGGGAACCAAATAGACCCTTTTTATGTTTTTCTCATAATTGGACTTAAGGAGAGATTAGGCATGTGTCAGCTGAGAGAGCCATTGGAGTGGCAGCTTTTTAAGGGCTTCCGGCCAGCTTGGGGAGCAGGAAGTAACCTCTGGAAGGAGCTTCAGTCAATTCCCCTGACACTGTCCTGAGGGTTAAGTGGCTTCCAGCGTCTGTGAGGCTTCCTGACCATTCCTCAAAGGAAGCAGTTCTTGTGTCTCCACAGTTTCAGGTGCTGATGATGGGACCTGAGTAGATCCCGGGCTCCAGGAAGCCTCGCTTTGGAGCTATGTTGCATTAAAAGAAACAGTTCAGCAAGAAAACGGTAATTAAAGTAAATTCAGATCCTTATTTACATTTTTCAAACAACATTAAAGAGGATAAAATTCATTACCTACAGTGATTTGTTTTTTTTTACAGAGAGAGGGAGAGAGTGAAACATTAATTTGTTGTTCCACTTATTTATGCACTCATTGATTGATCCTTTTTTAAAAATATATTTTTATTGATTTCAGAGAGGAAGGGAGAAGGTGAGAGAGATAGAAACATCAATGATGATCACAGAGAATTAGTGATCGGCTGCCTCCTACACACCTCCCACTGGGGCGTGTAGGAGACAGCCCATAACCCAGGCATGTGCCCTTGACTGGAATCGAACTTGGGACCCTTCCGTCTACCCACTGAGCCAAA